CTTTTAGGACCACATTTATGAGCATGCAGAGGTGCAACCACAGCTCCAGCAGCCAGCGCGAACAGGATCAGTGCTTGAAGGCACACCTGACAGCAGCTGCCAATACAGAGTTTATAAATCATCTCAATATTGACACGAATAATAAAACCAAAGAATAATGCTGAGAGGAGTTTTTTGCCTTTGTTTCCCCAATATGTCTGTAAATACTCACATAGCCACTGTGAGGGTGAAGTTAGTGAAAGGGTGAGGGTAGACAGACGTGACAGAGCAAATAGCTGCTGGAAAAGTGGATATTTTTAAGGAATAAACCAGTAGGATCTCCTCAAGGAGTAAACACCTATCCGGGATGATCCCTGTGGCCTTCCTCCAATCCAAGCCCTCCTCTCTTCAAACAAATCAACCCTGGTGAAGCTTACCGCTACACCTGCAGCCTCGAGGACTCCTCGCGCCGTCACCCTCCTCCTGCCGGTGTCAGCTCCAGCACAGCAGCAGGTAAATGTTTATATGATGGGAAAATATTCCCAGGAGAGCAGACAGAGCGCTACGCTTTCATCGAGCTGAACGGGAGAGAGAGAGAGAGGGAGGGAGGGCTGTAATCCCTCCCGATCCCACTTAATCCCAGGCAAGTGAGCCGCCTGCCTCTGGCCACCGGAAACCTGTTCCTCCCTCACTGGCTGGCTGGTTGCTGCTGAGCTGCCAAATCTTCTTAACTTTTTCAGCTTCTATCAACACACACGGAGGAGGGCTGAAAGAAAAGGGAGAAGCAGTTACTTCAAGAGAAACGAGAGAGTTTATGAATGTTACATTGCACTTGTCAACAAAGGACACAGAAGTAGCAGGTTTTAAGGCTGAAAAAGACCTAAAAGAGTAATTAAAGAATCAGATAATCTTCCTCACCAGCTGGGGGAAGAAAAAAATCTGGCAGGAGTGAATATAATCTCCTGATTGGTAATCCAATTCCTACTGAAAATCAACAAGATCTCCCCTCCCTCCACATGAAAACAGGTCTAAGGCATCTCATTGTACCCAAAACAGAGATTATTGTTTAAGGATCTGGATACGCCGGATGGATTTTCCCCCTTCCAGCAGAAAAAAAAGAGCAGTGATGCCAGTGGGATTTATTGAGCCACCCTTGACATGCAACAAGCTCTTTTTGACCTGTAAAAAAGGAACATCTGTTATTAAAAGTGAAAATCTTCTCAAAATACCTTCCAACTACGACCTTTCCTACAAAAACAGTTATAGTGAGTAACTGTTTAAGAAGTACTGAAAAAAGACAGTTTAGACTCCAATTTGCTTAAGTGAAAGTACAAAAGTATATATTTTTATACTTGACAATGAAGTACCTAAAACAAAATACCTCATTAGACACATCCACAAGTATGAACCATAATTATTAATTTTTTAAAGTCTATCACATTGTTATTATTCTCCATCTACTTCCCTTGGATCAGATAATCTGCAAGTACAGATTATCATCCGCTGTTATACAGATGATACACCACTATACGTTCCCCTCGTTCAATATTATTGCTTGTCTATATGATGTTAATTACTTCCTTAACCAATCAGTTTCCAAAGTTGAGGTCCTTTCATTAAACTTGAAAGGAGAATCTGTCCTCGATCACAAGGAATTCCACCTGTACCCTGGGTGTGATGACCAAGGTCTCCAACTAAGAAATGTTGCACATTAAAATATTTTCCATCGCAAACAGAACATGCCTTCTTCTCATCGTGTTTGGACTGTTGAAAATTTCTTGAATTCCACCTCCGGCATCCAGCTCATTTAAAACTCAGTAACTTTACCAAAATCAAAGGATCAAATGCACCACACTCATTACACTGGATTAAACACAGTGAGACAGTATTGTGTACAAATATTTTGATTATTTATTTATTTTTTGTAGTAGTCTTGAGGTATAGTTCTTCTGGCTCCTTGAAGAACATTTGGCTTAAAAATAAAAGCTTTTCTGTTCTTTTTAGTCCAGTCCTTGTATCTGAACATTTTCAGAGGAATCTTTTTGTTTGTTTGTTTAAGCCCCTTAACACTAAGAATCATTCAGGCATAAAAAAGGCACCTAGCTCAATAAATGAGCCAGTGTCATGTTTACACATAACAGACAACTTAGCAAAGAACCCAACTGTTCTTAAGGAGGAGAAACAGGGATAAAAGGCTGAAGTATGCCAAATTACATAAGAACTGGATTGAAACTCTGGTCTGATGGAGAGATATGTACAGTATGAACAGGGGAGGTCAGGAGAGAGGAACCACACAAGCACCATTAGATTTTGATCACCCGTGTAATACCATTTAAAAATATCTGATTGGTGACGGTTTCCTTCTTTAGCATGAAAATAATGCCAAACACACAAATGTTCAGATAGAGGGGGAGGAGGTGGAGGTGGTCAACAAGTACAAGTACCTCGGGCTGTGGGTGGACAATAAACTGGACTGGTCATGCAACACAGAGCACCTGTATAAAAAAGCCCAAAGCCGACTGTACTTCCTCAGGAGGCTGAGGTCTTTTAACATCTGCAGGAAGCTCCTGAGGATGTTTTACCAGTCGGTGGTTGCTGGAGTACTTTTCTATGCTGTGGTGTGCTGGGGGAGCAGCACAGCAAAGAAGGACTCATCCAGGCTGGAGAAACTGATCAGGAGGGCTAGCTCTGTGGTCGGCATGAAGCTGGACACTCTGGTGACAGTGGCAGAGAAAAGGACATTAAAGAAACTGATGGACATTATGGACAATGCCAGGCATCCTCTGCACACGGCCATAAACAACCAGAAGAGTCTGTTCAGTGACAGGTTGCTTCTCCCCAAGACAAGAACTAACAGACTTAAAACCTCCTTTGTCCCACACGCCATCAGACTGTTTAACTCCTCTCTGGAGGGGAGAGGGAGGGGAAACAGGAGGACAAAGGAGGGGGGAACAACTAAGCTGTAGTGCCTCTGCACCTCACTGTACAATACCTTGTGCAATACTTTTTGTAAATAGTCAACAGTGCAATAGACTCAATACTTGAAATGTGCAATTCACTTGTATTTTTATTTTTTATTCCTATTTATTCTATTTATCCCCTTTGTATATTTTATTTATATTTGTCTCTGTATTTATGTGTGTGTGTGTGTGTGTGTGTGTGTGTGTGTATATATATATATATATATATATATATATATATAAAACAGTTCTGTAACTGTAACTTCGGTCGTTGCTGTGCTTTTTTTGGAAGTCGAATTTCCCAGAGGAACCCACCCGAGGGATTAATAAAGTTCTATCTTATCTTATCTTATCTTATCTTATCTTATCTTAAATATTGATTTTCAAGCTTGTTAAAATTGGATGAATTGTTTTTGCTCTTGTATGTTTACATGTTTTATTAAATCACTGCACCATTTTCTGAGCAACATACAACAAAAACTTAAATCAAAATACAAACAATGAAGGGTGGGTCAAGACTTTTGCACAGCACTATATAGAAAGAAATCTTTTATTATGAGCATGGACTTGATTCCACCTACAATACAAATTTACTGAGAACCTCCAAAATTTTCCCACAGTTAGCAGAGGACCTAAACCCACCATCTACTTTCAAATCACTCCTTAAAATGTACTTTTCCTTGTTTTGTGTTTGTAATTCCTTATTTTTCTCTGTGAGGACAACTTGACAGTTACCTGTTTGACAGTGGAGGATGTAAGATTGTGAGTTGCAATTTCAAGTTAAAAAAATCTCAAACATGTATATGGTTATTTGAGATTGTACATACAAGTGACAGTATTTTACAATCAGTTCTGTAGGATTGTCATTTTTTTTCTTGTGTTCAGATTTTTTGTTACAAATTTTTAAATAAAATATAAATATTGCAATTACTGAGAATATATTTTTTATTATATTAAAATATCATTTTGAGTATATATATATGCAGGGTTGCTCCTCTATATTTTTCATCTCATTATGTGTGAAGTTGACCACTTTGTACAAAAGGAAAAAAAAAAAGATGCAACAGCAGGCATACGGATAAATTCCAGTTTAAGGAAAAGGCTGAAAATGACACGCATTTTGTTTTACTAAATTATATGTGCAATTTAAAACGGATTTTAAAAAAATACAACTAAAATGTATATTCAATGAAATGTTATATATTTGATGTGGAACATGACTATCGTTATTATTATTCCAATACAGTATCCAAATTTTTGCTGGGTTACTTTTAACATTCACATGTATGTGAAAATAAATACGTTGCCAAGTTTAGCAAAAAGAAAAGAAGTTTACATTTTAGCAGCCTGTGGTGCCTGTAACAGGAGAGCTTTTTTTTATTAATCATGAATTCTTCACAAAATTTTACACCCCATCTCACAAGATGATAAAGTTGCAGAAGCAATCATGAGAGCTAGTATGCAACAGACGTAACTTTTGCCAGTGATGCACAGCGTGTGAATGCTTGACTGTGGCTGACCCATCAACACGTTACAAAAAGCATGAGATTCAGGCTTTTCATTGGGACTTAAATATAATTATTTTTTAAATTTTCAAATTTAATAAAAAATAAATAAATTACCATTTCAGTACTTTAGACTGTACAGTGTGATATAACTTATAAAAAACATAAAATTTTCTATTTATATTTGCACACAGGAAGCCCATATGATTTTATTTTAAATAAGAGAACTGGATTATTGCATTTTAATTAAAAATTTCATTAAAAAATATATATATATACACACACTCAAATTTGGAAAACTTTACCTTGTAGAATAGCATTTTCATTTACAAGTTTTCAATCACTAGCTGCTTTTCCACCACAGCACCCAGGTCCTCTCGTAGGGACTCGAGCCAGAAATGTCTTGCAGAAGAATTCATTCACCTCCCACAAAAGTCACTGTAGCTGAGTCGAGTAGCCTGATTGCAGCAACATCTCCACGATAAGTGGGTGCGAAGGAAGGAAGGAAGGAAGGAAGGAAGGAAGGAAGACAGACAATGGAGGCAAAACACCTAAGTGGATTTCCACCAAAATGATTTTATTGCCCTTTGTCATCAATTAAAAGTACAACACGTTTGACATTGTGCAAAAGACACAGGTGGGCCCGTTGACAAAACAGCCGTTGGTGCAGTTGGTTAACCAGCTGCAGGGTTTAAAACATCAGCGCTTCCTTCAGTTTACACTTAGCACAAAAACACTCCACTCAGTCTGGACTAAATAAAGTCAGTCAGTGTGTGAACAACCACTACATCAGTAATCTGGTTTCAAAGTCAGCCGCGTCACTGTCAGAAAAAACTGTTTTCATAGGCAGCAGTGAATCATGTCAGCCTTCAAATTTAAGCTGAATAAAATATACAAGAGATGATGCTGAAGAACACCCGAGGGCGCCTTCTCTAGTCAGTGAAATAAGAACAGAGCCTGGCTTAAACATCAAATAAATGTTAAACCCAAAGGCTAAAGTGTGTAGGATGCATTCTAGGGATGAACTCGGTGAACTCGAAAAAAAGACAATACTGCTTCATTTCCATGAGGATCGAGCACATTTGGGCTCATGAACACAGACGGAAGATTATAAAATGATTTTTACTGCACGTGTGAGGACCACACTTCACCTCAGATACAAGCAGCAACATCATCACATATCAGTTTAGGTTCAACAGTATAAGAAGTTCCCATGAGCAGGTTTAAATTTTACAACCTCTGACAAACAATTTTCTGCTTGATTTTCGAATATCCCGCAGGGCGAGAGCAGCGGCTTTACCTCTGATCTGCTGCTATTTCTATTGTCGAAACTATCAGACCAGGGCATGAACAGCAACAAAAGGAAGAATCCCCTCTTAATCCCTTTTTAAAGTGGCATGTGTGACGCAGATCACAAGTAAGCAACAGTGCCTGATGGTTGGGGGTGGGGGGCAGCATTAGCAGATGGTGTGAAGCTTTGAACTCTATTATATCTATAACAGCAACGTTAAAGCGGCCTGCTTCTCGGCTCAGACATCACTCGCAAAAGGCAAAATACACATTTCTGTCCTTCTTGTGATTAAATCAGAATTCACATTGGACCGCTTGCATTGATTATTTTGCAGATCAGTGAGGTTTAGACCTTTAGCTGGTGGTTAGTTTCCTTCCTTGGCTGTGTGGCCTGCCTCCACATGATTAATAGAAACACTGTCAGGATATTTGCAGCTTCCTGCAGCATACAAATCAAACGTCTCTGCATACTGCTAAAGGACGATTTCTACAAACAATCCAGCAAAATGAGTTTCTGCAAACATTTCAAACAAGAAATGGACAAAGGAGATGCTAAATATGTCTTCACATTAGGGAAAGGTTACAGACACTGCTGATTTGCATAAAGCTAAAAAGTGTAACCACAGAGCGAGGAAGTGGATGGCTAGTTGCTCAAAATGAAGCAGTGATGAACGAGAAAGCTGCTCAGGTGGTAAGAAAGAGTGGAAACAAACCGTCAGGTAGCGTTAATACAATATAAGTGAATTGTACAACGTCACTGTCATTGTACTGTAAAAAAACAAAACAAAACTTTTATCTCTAAAAAGCAGAAGGAATTTTCAGCTTTTTTGGGAATAACATTTAAAAAAAAAAAAAACCACATCTTGTCCTCAACTCCTAAGATTAAAGATTCGAATTGTTATTTTTTTATTAGTGAGACTAATAAATAAGACTGTAATAAAGAGCAACACAGGTTCTCCAAAAGCGCCAAATTTCCACTTCCTACCACCACCTTGCAGAGCTGTAAGACTGTCCTGCGAACACTGGGCTCAGAAATACAAACCAAAGACACCTCCTGCAAAACGCTGTCAATGAAAAGACATTTCTGTGGACTGAATAATGAAAAGCTCATCTTAAAAAAAAAAACAAAAGAAAACATTAAATACATATTTTTCCTCTGGCCTGCAGTGCTGGTTGTTTTTTTTTATTGTTTCCTCTAAAGGTATAAATCTTATCTTTAATCTTATGAACATAAAACAAACCAGGTGGCACTGTACACCTTGTGGTGCTCAAGGCATTAAGAAGTCTTGAAAACTCATCAATTTCTAGACTACAGGAACTATGTTCGTTCTTCCAACCACCACTGCTCCCAGTACACCTGGAAATGGATCCCTGTACATTTCCAAATCGATTTTATTTTTTAAGTCGATAAGTATCATATGACAGGACAAACATGGACGGCAGCCGCTTGGCTGAGCTCTAATGTTAGCTTGTTTGGTCTGTAGGTGGTCAAAGAAAATAGTTCCACCATTTTATTAAAATACCCAGATCATGATTTCTAAAATTAGACCTCATTTCTGAAGCCTCGTTAATGGTAACAGAACCTGCTGTGTAGACGATTAAAGTGACGGCTCTGTAACCAGTAACATGCTGGTGTTAGCAGAAGCAGGAAGTAAATTAAGCTTTTTCCAGAAAGTCTTTTCAGGATCTGTTTTGATGCTATGTCAGAAAATTAGTTCAGGTATTTGCAGATCACAGATAGGTAAAGACCCACATGATCGCAAATGTGCTTCTGTAATTGAGCCAAATACTCCAAAGTGGTTGTGAAGTCGCTTTTGATTTTACCTTAGATACCACTTTTAAATGGCATGAAAAGCAACTAAATCCTCATCAAGTCAGCAGCTGTTGTGAGTGACAGTGATGTGAGGAGAGATGAGGTGAAACAAAAAGTTTTTCAGTCTTACTTACAAGATATTTAAACGCATTTGCTTTGCTGCTTTGAGCACCACAAGTTGAGCATCTCTACAGCTGATATCCCCCAAAAAACAGACACCTAATAATGTATGCACTAAAGGCCAGAGGAAGGATACGCATTTTAAATGTAACAGTCTGAGGTTATGTTCAGAGGACGTGTGAGTACGCTTTCAAGTCAACAATCCGGCTGAAGCTTGCGCTTCAAATGAAGAAATAAAAAAAAATCTTTATAAGCAACTGTTTAGATTCAGGTCCGTTCACTGATGCTGTAACACGTTCTTTCTTTAAATACAGTATGAAAATGGGCAGTCAGCTTGCCCAGATAAATCCTCTCCAAAGAAACTTTGAACAAGTGTCAGTTTTACTTGCAAAAGAAAAAAAAAACAAAAAAAAAAACAAAAACCTTCCTTCAGGACCGGCTCCCCCCCTGCAGTGCCTAACAGCCACTAACCATAGGCATCCATCTCAGATTATAAAGTTTATGAATCCACAGTTTATAGAGTTACTTCCTCTTCATGTAGCTTTCACTGAAAATAATTCATGTTTCCAGATTTACTGTTTGTTTTTTTTTAAGATTAAAAATTTTAAGGAGAAAAAATGAGGTCCGGTATCCCACAGACAAACTTTGCACTCCCTCCCTGCTAAAGGTGATTTAATAACAGTCATCTTTATTCCCCAACTCCACCCACATGGATGGTGCGACTGTGCTCGCGTCTGTCATCACGGCGACATTTCTACCTTCATCACCTGTGGATGATGAGTGTTTCAGGGAGGGAGGGTCTGTGACGGGATGTGTCCAAGCAGCATTCGACGACCTGTTCTTATGACCCCTCCTCCTCCCTGTCAGTCATCCTCATGCCCGGCTACTGGAGCTGAGAGGAGGGGAGTGGAAAATCAGCAGCATGAAGGTCACCGAGGACTTAGCAGCAGTCTCGTCTTAAGTGACCTTCTCATGCTGGATCTGGTAGTAGCAGGCCTGCAGGGGGAGAGATACCTGAGTGACCTAAAAGTTTTGAAACGCTTGCAGACAAAGCAGCGTGAGCTGCATGTGCGTTACCTTGAGGGTGGTGAACATAATGCCGTGTTCTCCGTGCTGGACGCAGGGGTCCATCAGGTCTTCGATCAGACTGACCTCAGAACCGAGGTTCCTGATACTGAAGAGAGAAAGAAAAAAAAAGCCAACCTTTGAGTCAGATCTGCTCCTTGCTTGTCATGTCCAGTTTCTCGTATTGTACCAAGGCTGTGACGCTAAAAGAGTCCACCATGAGGTGCCATATGTGGACCTAGCAAATGGTAGCCACTAGCTCTTCTGCTCTGCCTCATTTTCACTCATTTCAGCCACTGAGCTGAACCTCTTGACCATGTTTGATGATGGATTATCTGACAAATATAAAATGACTCACTCTGTGCTAAAAGACAATCCAAGACATTTGTTTCTCATGTGTATGTGTGTACTGCATGGGGATATGCTCCACACTCGCATACCACAAAGTCATTAGGTACACCTTCCTAGTTCAAGGTTTGTCCCTCTTCTTGGTTCAGAGCTTCTTTCACTCTTCATGGCATAGATTCAACAAGGTGCTGGAAACATTGCTTAGAGATTTTGGTCCTGACACATTGATATGAGGCAGTAAGGCCAAATTCTGACTGTAATGTTGGTGAAACCAAGACTCATCAGACCAGATGATGTTTTTCCAGTCTTCTATTGTCCAATTTTGGTGAGACTGAGGGATTTGTAGCCAAAGTTTCCTGTTAGTAGCTGAGAGGAGTGGCACCTGGTGTGGTTGTAACAAGTTGTTAATTGAGTTACTGTTGCTTTACTATCAGTTTGAAGGAGTCTGGCATCAGCAAGACATTTTCACTGCTGCTCAATGGATTATTTTCTTTTTCAGACCTCTAGAGACCAAAATATGTGTTGGGGAAAATCTAGATCAGCAGTTTCTGAAATGCTCAGAATAACCACCATGCCACATAAAATCACTGAAGTGATCCTTCTTCCTTATTCTGATGCTCAGTTTGAACTCGAGCACGTCTCCATACAAGCATGCGACTGGCTGATTAGATATTTGCATTAATGAGCAGTTGATCAGGTGTGCCTAATGAAGTGGCCAATGAGTGTACATTTTCTCATGTTTATAGTGCAAACTCCGTTCTGTGAAGCATGTCACTGATCAGCTACAACTGTCAAGTCATTTGAGAGCAGCTGGGATGGGTGTAGGTCTTTGAATAAGTTGAACAGCAGTATTATTGACTAAAATTGCCTTCCCCACCATCACATAGAACAACCTCCACATTTAAGAAGCTGAAACCTAAAACTTTTGGTTATGCTTACAAAAATAGCAAAAGCCCTTGCAGTTTTTTTTAGGCCATTCTCCACTGCTTGTGTTTCTGCCCACACCTCATTTTCGCCATTTATTTCTGTAAATGTGTGCATTACTGTGCTTTTTCTGTGGTTCAATGCTCACCGCGCTCGTAGTACTACATAGAGGAAGACAGGGAAGAGGTCGTCCATGGACCACAGGAAGTCCTGCTTCAGAAGCGCCTGGACCTCCTGTGTGATCTCCTCGAAAGTGAGCTGGATCACCTGCAGCTTGTCTGATGGCGTGAAAGTTGTGCTGCAAAAGAAAAGAGGACTTCTAGATGAAGGATGAAGGAACCAACCACTGCCCCTCCCCTCTGCTGTATTTTCTTTAAAAGTATTAGAAGCCGTTGAATGGAGCCGTACCTGATCTGCTGTAGTGTTTCCACTGCAGAAGCAAAGCAGGCGTCTTTGGTGCTGGAGATGACCTGGACAAGTCGCACAGCAGAACAAACACGCTTTACATCTTTATAACAATAATGGATGCAAACAACATCCCCTCACCCCCTTTGTCTTTAAAAAAGTACTACAGAAATAAAATTCTTAACAACAGTAAGGAGACTTAAAAGACTGAACTGAGAGATCACTATCAGTTTAAACCCATCATAAAAATGAACTAAACAGGATCTTTTACCTTTGAGATGAATTGTCTTTAACAGTGTCATGTGTAAATTAGCAAATATTTAACTTAAGATTAAGATTAAGTAAAAAGAAAAAAATCCAAAACAAAACAAGTTAAAGGAAATTAACAAACACAATCAATGTCAGCACAGCCCCAAAACATCTGAGCTAGTTTTGGAAAATATGAACAAAATGATACCAGTTGCTTCTCGCCAGGCGCAGGCAAAGATGCTGGGATGGAAACAGGCCAAAACTTTCTGACAGGAGGAAAACAGAAGAAGAAGAAGTAGTAGTATTTATGGATCTGCATAAAATAAAAACAAACTCTTCTACAGCCGCATGTTCAGCTCTGACGTACTGCTGGACGCCCAGGAAGGCGAGCAGGGCGAGGTCGGGCTGCTTGTTGAGGCGCAGGACGCACTCCCAGTACACGTCGTCCTCTCTCTCCTTGTCCAGGGCGTAGAGGGTGAAGAGCGGCGGGTAGAGACGGGGCAGAAGGACAGGAAGCAGCAGAGCCGAGCTGCTCACCACGCGGCTGAAACACAAACACACGGAGGAAGTCGTTAATAACCAGAGCCCGCTCACCGGAGATATGGCAGCAGCGGGACGTGGATCCATCCTTACGCAGGTTTGGGAGACTCCGGCAGGGCATCAGTAGAATTGGGCTCATTCTTCTCCTGCAGGTCGGTGGTCGGCTCTGGGATTAGACCGCCCTCTTCTGGCAGGTCTGGGAATAAAAATCTGAACCAAAGCAAAGAAAAACATACAATAAAATCGTGTAGAGTCATCTAGAGAAATGTTTATTTGCCTTTGAAATCAATAAGCTCATCTCACAGTTCCCCCTCCTCTCCGCATTACTGACAGCCTGAGGACATTATGAGGCTATCTTGGCTGTTATGCAGACATGAAGGACATTGGATCCATTCACAGTGACTACCTGACAATCAGGAAGATGTGGTTGAGGTAAGATTTAATCTCGCTGACGGCCTGATGTAGGAGCCGACGGTTGGCGCCAACACCCACGTAGGTCATCCTGTAGACCGCCACCAGGGTCTCCAGCAGCTGACCCAGAGGGTGCAGCGGAGTGTCACACGCCTGGAGGACAAAGGATCATTTTGTCAATGCTGTGCCTGCTCAGGGGTCTCATCGATAACCCTCCCTCTAATGCTCTGCAACACTCTGATCAGGTAAACAAGATGACCAGAATTTTTATTCAGCGTTAATGATTTTGAGCTTTAGCTGTTAAAATTATATGTGTAGAGTTATTCATTTAGGACTTTCAGTTTTATGTTGTTATGGTCGTATTTCTCATTATTGTTTGAATTATTACAAACCAGTCAGTGAACGCTCTAATCAAAAAAAAAAAAAAAAAAAATCAATCAGCACAATAATCATTAGTTGCAGCCAGTTAAAGAGCTCCAATATACTCTAAAAACCTGTTTGCAGGTTAGTATATCAGCAGTTGTTATTGCCACCGGTACTTTTACTTCGTCGACTCTGTGAACCCACCTTGATTAGGTAGAGGCGGATGGCGTTGTATCTGTCCATGGTGATCGGCCCTACGTGCTGCGGGATAACTTCCAGACTCTCCAGCGTTTTGTTGTGAGATCGAGACAAAACATCCGGACTGGGATGCACAAACATTGGGAATTTTAGATTCGAGATGTTTTTACTTCAACGAGAAGTTTTATGACCAATAAGAAGGCGTCAGGTGGTACCTGTCCAGGATGTGTCGCCGGCTGGTGGTGAGGGCCACAGCAATGTTCTCCCAGGCCTTTTCGGGCTCCCCTCGGCCCGGAGCCTCACAGCCCAGCTGACTCCAACACTCCTCGAAAACCGCCGGCCACTTATCCTCGGCACACACACACAGATGACCCAGCTTCCTGCCGCATCAACAAACAATATAAAGTATATACAGACAAATTAAAGTTTGCTTTAACAAACATGAGACCACTCATGAGCTTACATGGCTTGGGTCTTGTCCTTGTCGGTGTCGAACAGGTGTGGTTTAAAGTAGGAGCCCGTCACTTTGAGACCAGAGCCCCATTCGCCATTGAAGGAGCCCTCCAGGTAGTCACCATTGGGCATGGTCAGCACGCCCTGAGGGAGAGCCAGGACATTTAATAACAAGTACCTGCACTCGGTATTAGATTTAGAAGAAAAAATTTAAAGTATTCATATTTAGTTACCTTTCCACTGAGGGTCCAGTCGTCTGAGAATTCGCCCTCGTACGTCGTGTCGTCCTCTGACAGAAGGACACCAGTGCCCTGAAAGAGTCATCATCTCCCATTTTAAACACACATTTATTATTATTATTTTTATATATATAAAACACCCAGCACACCCCTGCGGGCGGTTTATCCTTCAAGCTCGGGTCCTCTACCAGAGGCCTGGGAGCTTGAGGGTCCTGCGCAGTATCTTAGCTGTTCCCAGGACTGCGCTCTTCTGGACAGAGATCTCCGATGTTTCTTCTTAAAAGTGAATGTTTCCCCATAAATTCTTTAAGTCTTACACTTAAACAATCTGACATTCCTTTTAGACTTAGCCCTGCTGGCTTTAAATATTTGGGAGTTAACATGACTCGTACTTTGTCTTCTCTATACTCTTCCAATTTCTCCCCTTTAATGACTCAAATTCAATCAGATTTTCAGAGATGGAAATCGCTACCTTTGTCCCTAATTGGTCGGATCAATGCTGTAAAGATGAACATTTTGCCTCGATTGTTATTTCTGTTTCAGAGTATTCCTATATTTTTACCTAAAGCTTTTTTCAAAAAGTTAGACCAGCTAGTTACATCGTTTTTGTGGGGAGGGAAACACCCCAGGGTGAGGAAATCATTATTACAGAGACTGACATTTGATGGTGGTCTTGCCTTGCCTAACTTTTTATTTTACTATTGGTCCTCTCATGTTCACAAATTGACCCATTGGCTTGAATCTCAAGACCTGCTGTGGTGCAAACTGGAACGCCTGTCGTGCACTTCCTCATCCTTAGAAGCTTTATTATTCTCTCCACTACCACTTAAGCCTTCTCATTTCACCCAAAATCCCGTGGTACAGTCTAGTCTAAGGGTCTGGTCACAATTCAGGAGTCATTTTAAGTACATCTCTGCGTCAGTACACATGCCCATCACGCAGAACCATCTGTTTACTCCTGGCCTCATTGATGGTACCTATGTACAGTGGAAGCGTCATGGTATTAATACATTTAAGGATCTCTATAAAGATGGCACTTTCTTAACTTTTTTTAGACCTGTGTTCAGAAACAAATCTTCCGGCTACCAATCTATTCCGTTATTTTCAGGCACGGCATTGCACTTTTGCTCTCTTCCCCTCCTACCCTCTTCTCCCAATGTCCAACCGTGGGAGGAATTCTTATCCCTTAAACCCAATAAGAAGTCAATTATATCTTTAATATATAAACAACTTATGGATTTAAATGTCCATTCCGTTGCTAAAATTAGGAGGGCTTGGGAGCGGGAGTTAGGAGTAATTTTTTCAGATCAGCAATGGGAGAAAGCAGTATCCAATGTCCGTTATAGTACGTCCTGTGCCAGGTTACAACTCATCCAGTTCAAGGTGTTGTACAGGGTTTACTATTCAAAGTCTCGTCTGTCTGAGATTTACCCACAAGTGATGGATCAGTGTGAGAGATGTCATGCCACCCCATGTGACCTAGGCCATATGTTCTTTCTGTGCCCAAGACTCCATGGCTTCTGGAGTCAGTATTCAGTTATTCTTTCCAAAGCTCTTGGGACCAAAATCTGCATGGACCCTTTTCTAGCTGTTTTTGGGCTTCCAGTCAACACTGGTCTAACCGACCCTACACACTTCAAAATATTAGCCTTTACATCACTTTTGGCTAGACGTTGCATCTTACTCCTTTGGAAATCTTCAAAGCCACCTTCAGTTTCTTTTTGGTTTAGAGATGTGATGTCATCTCTTAAATTGCAAAAGATAGGCCTTGTGGCGAAGGGCAAATACAGAGAATTTTATTCTATCTGGGCCCCTTCGTGGACTATTGCAAGTCATTAAACGCTCTACCAGCTGATTAATATCATGTCTCTTCCCCCCCCCTTTTTTTTTTTTTCCCCCCCTTTTGGGGTTTGTGTTTGTTTTGGGTTTCTTATTAGGTTTTGTTTTGTTTGTTTACTTAAGCGTGTGTGTAGGTGTGCCTGTGTGTGTGTTATTGTGTCTGTTCATGTAAGAAAAACTAAAAAATATGTGAGGGGAACAGATTGTGTTGTCATTGTAAACTACTGTACACTTGTCTCTCAATAAAAATATTAAAAAAAAAAAAAAAAAAAAAAAAGAGATCTCCGATGTTATTCCCAGGATCTGCTGGAGCCACTCGCCTAGCTTGGGAGTCACCGCACCTAGTGCTCCGATTACCACCGTTACCTTCACCCTCCACATCCTCTCGAGCTCTTCTCTGAGCCCTTGGTATTTCTCCAGCTTCTCGTGTTCCTTCTTCCTGATATTGCTGTAATTCAGGACCGCTACATCGATCACTACGGCCGTCTTCTTCTGTTTGTCTACCACCACTATGTCCGGTTGGTTAGCCACCACCATTTTGTCCGTCTGTATCTGGAAGTCCCACAGGATCTTATATTATATATATATATATATATATATATATATATATATATATATATATATATATATATATATATATATATATATATATATATATATATATATTTTTTTTTTTTTTTTTTTTTTATAGGGGTGCAACGATATTCGTATCAATATTGAACCGTTCGATACAGTGCTTTCGGTTCGGTACGCATATGTATCGAACAATACAAAATTTGTAATTTATTTCATCAACTTTCCTTCTGACGATGCTGTCTGTGTTGAGCGCTCAGTGAATCTGCGTTCGACTACTCCGCCTAGGCTACACTGTCGAGCCCAGATCCACTGAGCGCTCAATACAGACAGCATAGTCAGAAGGAAGAGCGCAGGGCAAGCTAGCTCTCCTTGCAACATGGCAAATTGAACCTCCCCCACCCTCATTCAGATCTGGCGTTTGGAATTATTTTGGTTTTCATGTGACGTATGACCCTGAAGGTAAGCGCGTCATGGACTAAAGTAAAACAGTATGTTGGATGTGCCATGCAATGCTCAATTACATGGGTGGGAACTAGTGTGTTATCGCAGTTAGCTCGTTAACGTGTTGGCCGTCTAGCCCCATGCACGGGGCTATCAGGGGTAGCTCGTTAACGGAGATTTGCCGTGTTGTGGCGTTAACGTCATTTCAACGAGATTAACCTGAAAGCACTAGTGGGAACACAACGAATATGACTGCACATTTACATCATCCTAGTACAAAAACAACAAGCATGCATGCTACAAACTTTAGCCGAGTCATTTAGAGAGCCGTTAGCACATGAGTCTCCTTATGGGGACCTGATATGTTTAATATGCTGCTGAGAATATAGCCCAGAAGAAGCGGATAGTATAGCTTTTATTTTGGAAAGAGACATTTCTCTGTAATAAACTCTCTTTTCCAAAGATGAGTGATTCCTCAATCAGATACAGGGCTTGCAATATCGCTAGCCCGACGTCCCAGGGCTAGCGATTTTTTCAGTCGGGCTACCAAAATCTATCTCTGCCCTGCCCGTCGGGCTATTGTAGGAAGGAAAAATATATGTCAATGCTTTTGCATTCTTTCGGAAATGTAGCTGGGTAATTATGTCATTGGCATCGGTGAGCCACTGTCAATATGTGACATATTGAAATCGCGTTTGAATTTGCGCTTGTTTTTTTTGCTTTCACTTTGCAATCGCTCGGACAGCACTGATTATATATTGTACATATATTTATTAGTTTCAGATGAAGCCATTCTTGTATTTTGCTTGTTTACGTTATTGTATTTTGTACAACTCTGTTGCTTGTGAAGCTCGCACACAAGAATTTCACTCACATGTACTGTACCAATGTACCTGCACATGTGATGTGACAATAAAAGTGATTTGATTTGATTGGTGAGTGATGATAATTTGTGCACCAATTCCTCTGACATCGTCTTATTAATCGTTAGCTTACTACGCAAACATGACAAGTGAAATCTCCCGCAGCAAGCTTAAACATGTGAGAGGTTGATCGCGCAGAGAATCGCTGAGCTTATGTGAGTGCGTGTGTAAAAGCAGCAGGATATATATTTTAGTTCTGCTGAGCCAAATAAGACAGGTCGGGGTGAAGAAGTGACAGCCAAAGAAAAGCTTACCACAAAACGGAGAAGTTATGACAAATCAGACTATAAGGCAAAAAGAAAGTGCAGCTTTATGGTTTCATGGACAAAAGAATTTCTGTGGCTGCAATATGATGAGCTAAATAACCAGGGCTGCACATAAGTGGTCCGCAGGTGCGCATTCGCTGTCAAAATAAAAAACACGCACAAGGGTTAGGGTTAAATTTAAAAACTGTACTTTTGAGTTAAAATATATATTTATAATTTTAATAAATGACAAATTAAAAAGGCATGAACATTTTTTTTGTATCGAAAAAAATATCGAACCGAACCGTGAATTTTCTGTATCGTTGCACCCCTAATATATGCTGCTTAGGGGTGGGCGATAGAAACGATATAAATTTGGCCAACCATACAGATTTTGACTATACCGTTCTACCGCGATAGCGCATGTTGATGATGTGATCAAGCTGCGCCTGTTTTGGTCGAAAGCATCGCAGCGGCTACTACCATTATCGTCTGCAAATTATGCCGGGCGACAGTCATAACAAAGAGATGAAGCACTTTTAAAATATGGGGAAAGCCAAAATGGTAAAATGGTAAATGGCCTCTATTTGTATAGTGCTTTTACTGGTCCCCTGCTAGGGACCCCAAAGCACTTTACACACCCAGTCACACACTGGTGGAGGCAAGCTACAGTTGTAGCCACAGCTGCCCTGGGGTAGACTGACAGAAGCGAGGCTGCCATAATAATAATAATAATAATGGATTGGATTTATATAGCGCTTTTCAAGGCACCCAAAGCGCTTTACAATGCCACTATTCATTCACTCTCGCATTCACACACTGGTGGAGGCAATATTGCGCCATCGGCCCTTCTGGCCAACACCAGCAGGCGGTAGTTGAAGTATCTTGCCCAAGGACACAACGACCGAGACTGTCTGAGCCGGGGCTCGAACCGGCAACCTTCCGATTACAAGGCGAACTCCACACTCTTGAGCCACGATCGCCCTGCACTTCCTCCACTTCCCTACCATTGATTCATTAATGTTGAATTCTCTCGCAGCTGCTCTATTCCCATGTTGTTGCAGTATATTAAAAACTAACCTTGTATTGTGGATGAAAAATCTCAGTTGTTCTCCTGACTGAAGTTTGGCCCGTGTATAGTATCCATTAAGCAGTGCGGTTTACCAAAGTTGTACTAAAACATTTTTTAACAGATTTCTGCACGCCTAAATCGGTTCGAGGTCAGTAAGCACAACCAGAATTCATACATAAGGCACACTCTCGACTTTTGAGAAAATTAAAGGATTTTAAGTGCGCCTTATAGTGTTGAAAATACATTATACAGGAGAATATATCGTGATATATATCGTTACCGCACGTGCTTCAAATTATACCGCGATATAGATTTTAGGCCATATCGCCCAGCCCTAGAGCTGCTGTTACAGTGTTTGCTACAAGAACACACAAACGCACAGAGCTCCAATGAGCTCACTGTTAATCTGTAAATGTGACATTTCTGCATTATGCGTTTGTATTATTTCATCTCTGGGCTTCCGGTTTCTTTCATTTAAGGAACATATTTAAATTGTAAACTGTTTTTCCTTTTTCCAGCTGAACTAGAGACAATTACTCACACATTTATGTCATTGTGCTTCTTCCTGTAAAGCTCTGTTTACTGGCTTAGATTTTAAAATACTTTTTTTTTTTGTACTTACTTATAGAGCCCTAAACGGACAATGGACAGATCTCAGCTTCTTACTAAACACACTGCGGCTCGATGACAGGCTCAGGATGTGTTGGTTGTTCCTCATGACAGACTCGTACCTCTCACATCTACGTTTATCTGAATCTACAAGCAGCTGACAGCTTGTTCATTAACCAGACTTACTGTTGAGAATCTTAATGATAGTAAATGTTTTTAATGATCTTTTCTGTGTCACAACTTTATTTTGAATTGCTATCACCTGTATTTTAATTTTCTATTACACTTATATTGTGATTATTCTTTGTGACCTCATGTCTGTGAACATTGCTTTATTTCCTTCCTTCCTTCCTTCCTCCCTTCCTTCAGGCATTTCTGATGATGCCCAGCTCTACTGAGAATTTAATAAAAAATAAAAAAAGCGTAAAGCAGCTCTGGTACTTACATCATCTACATATATTTGAAGGAAAATGAATAAAAGAATAGAATAAATCTTTGCAAAAATGACTGAATATTATACTACTGTATGATTTATGAATGATTTAAATTGTTCTACTTCAGGGTTTTTCCTGAATATGAAAAAATTGATTTTGTCCTTCCATCAAAAGGAAAATCACCAGAACTGTGGAAAAAAATATTTTTAAGCAGGGTTTAATTTACTTTAGCTTAAAAATGTTGTTATGAATAGTTTTGCTTGTGAGAAGGCAAAAATAACAGGAAAATACACAGATTAATGTCATACGCCGAACTACAGATGTGCTTTGAAAAAACATGAAAACTGAAGAACGTCTGCTGTTGTGACACACTGAGACAACTGGGGATAAAACCTCTGAGCTGCTCACCATCATCTTGTTGTCTTTAAAAGCTCCTTCATAGTACAGGCCAAACTGGGTGACCACCACTCCGGTGCCCTGCCGCTGGTGGTCCTGCCACATGCCCATGTACTTCTCTCCTCTGGAAAGCAAACAGACAGCAGCCTATTTATCCCTTCATATGTGTAATATCAGAAAGCTGCCAGTAAATTTATAGGCAAAAGAACTGAGTGTGGGAATGAGCGTACTTGGTGATATCGTCAAAGACTCCATAGCCGGTCTTCTTGTCCTGCAGCCACTGACCAATGAAGACGCTGGGGGACGAGGTGTTCAGCTTGCCACTGCGCAGCATGCCGTGACCGTGCCGCACGCCCTCCTGAAAGGACCCGTCATAAACTTCACCGCTGGCATACCTGCAGTCAGATAGAGGAGGGGTGCTCTCTTACAACACAGCTGTTTCATCTATGACTGAACCTCAATCTGTTCTTTTATTGAAAAATTTCACTGCTAAAATGCTTCCTATGTCGTCTCTGATTTTAAGGAAAGCAAGCAAGAAGAACTTCTTTTATCAGGTGACAACATTTGCTAATGAGAAATCTCCCTCAAAACTGTTATAAGTATGTTTAAATACGGTTGCTGATAGTTAGCTCATCTTCATAAGAAAGAAAGCACACACAGGGTCAAATCTATATACTGCACCTCGACCAGACACGTTTTGTAGCAATCAACACTTCATTGTTTGGTTCCTTGGCATGGATCTGGCTTTTAAGCATTGTCCACAAATTTTCATGGGTTGGGGCTTTGGGAGCACCATTCCAGAAGCTTAATGCTAGCATGCTTTATCCATTTAATAAAACCAGGTTTGATGTGTGTTTGGGATCATTGTCCTGTTGGAATACCAACTGTGTCCAAGTTTCAACAGTCTAGCTGATGATTTGAGATGGAGTTGAAGAATTTGGAGGTATTCCTTCTTCATTATTCCTTCCCCTTTGTGCAATATACCAGTACCACTGATACCAGTAATACTGGCAGCAATACAGCCCCAGAGCATGATGATATTCCCACCATGTTTGACAGCTGGGACAGTGCTCTTAGGTTTGAAAGCTTCACCTTTACTCCTCCAAACATGCGTCTTGTCATTGTGGTCAAAAAGTTCAATCTTTGTGTCGTCTGACCATAAAACTTTTCTCTAGAAGGCATTTGGCTCGTTAATGTGGGCATTTTCTTTTTTGATCAACACCCTCTCAGTCCATGGTGATGTTCTTCGCTGTGGACAGTGATGCTGGTGACTTCCACATTGTTTTGAGAATTGGTCAAACTAATGAGGCAAACATATAGAGAAACTACCAGTTGTAGTCAATCATAATCACTAATGAGAAGTTAATAGGTCTTAGCCTTATTAGGTTAAAGCATTGTAAGTGAATTCATGTATATACAGTACTTGAGCATGTATGTATACGTTAGACCGTGTGTGGATTAGAAATCCAAAATGAACTCAGAATTGTGCATTAAATCTAGCCAAACATCATCGTAATCATAATAATAGTAATTATAATAAAGGGCATGCTGCTGAAAATAATACATTTTCATGCTGCTCACCTGTATGTCCCCAGGCCGTGCATCTTGCCATCCTTCCAGTAACCTTGATAGTGGTCGTTCTTGTTCAGCATCTTATTGGGGGCCACAAACTCACCAAAGCTGCATAAACAAAAGGTGATAAATCACGCTCTCAGGCTTACACACCCACACACAAATTGAACAATTACCATAAACAACTAGGAGATTTTAGGCTCCAGCACTCACCCATCTTCTAGTCCATTCTTGAATGCCCCAGTATATATTCTCCCATCACACCATTTCAAAACACCTCTGGGAAAACAAACAAACAACACTTTCCAATTTCTCAACATATAAGTAAAATTATCTAAGTGTAAATGCAACAGTGTGAACATCCAACCTGCCGTTGGGCTTTCCAGACAGCCAGCGACCCTCATATGTCGCATCCTTCAGTCGCCCTTCCTTATAAAACGTGTACGAAGCTGTTCTGGAGATGGGAGGCTCCAACTTCTGCACTGAGCTGCCTGACGCCACGTCCTGTCCTTTTCCGCTCAGGGCCTGGTCCACCGCCTGGTTGATGGAGCGAAGCCACTTGATCTAAGAATGAACAAACAGCCCAGTTCAGAAATAGAAATTGAGTTTTTAAAAAGGTAAACATCAGCTTTTAAACAGTTACCTTCTCCATGGGAGACGAGGCGAGCAGGGTGAGCGTCTCCTCAGGAGTGATCACCTTTAACCCATACCTACACGCACAGATACCCTTTGTTTTACCACGATATAAAAACTACACAGATGCAACAGTGAGGAAAGATCAAGACATGGATATTTACAAGTTATGACAAAATAACCCTACTTCTCCCCTGAATTAAATCTCAGTAAACACTTTCCATATTATGCTCCAAGCCACTAGTTTCAAATCTTAGTGAATAATTCATGAGGTTCATTTTGTAAACTATGGTTCCTATTATGGTATAAAAGCATGATAAAGAAGAATATGCTTTATGATGAACATGCAATGCCCCTCTGTTTCTAAGTCAGATCCAGCCCTCACTGCTGATGATGAGTTACCAAGGGGTCCCTGAGCAAAATGTAAACATTCAAGTATTTCCCAGGAACAATGGAAACTATTCATTGTTCCATTGTGAAGCAGAGATACTAATCTCTGCTTCATGTGCCCGTGCAATTATAGTTGCATAAATATAATACAGTGCTGTGCAAAAGTCTTGAAGTCTTTTGTTCTGTTCTCTGTCAACATGATCCCAGACTGCTTCAATAATGTTGAGGTCCGGGCTCTGGGGAGGCCGATCCATGACTGATAGAGTTCCACTGTGTGTTTTTATTTCCAGGTATGCTTTTACTTTATTGGAAGTGTGTTTGGGGTCATTGTCATGTTGAAAAATTAAACTGTTGCCAATCAAATGCTTTCCAGATGGTATTGCAGGTGGGTCAAAGTCTGATGGTACTTTTTGAGTTCGTAATTCATTAATTAACAAAATCTCCAACACCACTGACTGAAATGCAGGTCCAAACCATGACAGAGCCTCTACTGTATTTTACAGACACTTACTGTTGTACCTCTCTGCTAACCTGCTCCCTGCATACTGACGATAATCTGAATCCCAAAATGTCAAATCTGTATTCATCACTCCATCAGACCTGTTATCACTGCTTTTCAATCCAGTTCTTATGTAAGGCTCTTTAAAGAGAAAGTTAAAAACTAAGTATGATCCTTTTCTTTTTTAAATGTAAATAAGAGTGGAGACTTGGTCATGGTTTGCGGATGACTAGGAGAGTTCAGGCTGTGTTGAAGAATAAAGGTGGTCACACCAAATATTGACTTTCAAGCTCGTTACAATTGTCCAAAATCTGTTTTTGCCTATTTTATTTCCATGTATTTTCAGTGCACCCATTTCCTATTTTCTTAGCAACATAGTTTCCTGGCTCAAAACTTCTGCAAAGAACTGTAAATATAATTACAAAGATAAGGTTTGTGTAATAATGACTCCAAAAGCTCCCTGTGAAATTCCTTCAATTATCATAGAAAAGCTGCAAACTTACAGGCCCGTGTCCTCCTCTGGGATTGGCTCCACCCACAGCGTGGCCAAAGGGAAGATGTGATGGGTGGAGAACTGGGGGAGAAAAAATGATGTCGGGAGGATAACAAGATAAAATGGAAAAGAGAGACAAGAAGAGAAGGCATCAAAGAGAATATAACCACCGACGGTGAGTGAGAGAGACAGCGACATGAACCCAACCACTACGAATGAGCACATCAGGTGATCGACAGACTTCACCAACGACCGGGACGCTTAAAAGAGAACAAGCAAACTGGGAACGACAACAAGTCCACATTTTTATATCTGTAAACCACTGCCTGCTTTAAACACCATTATTATTTTTCTTACCATTTCCTTATTGTTATTGTCATTTTTTAATGACCGCCACTACAGTAACTCTGTTTCAGACTGTACTGGTAACATCAGGCATCATAATCCCGCTTTTTATGAGAATACGATGATTATAAGGCTACAATTCTACTTCTGGATCCACTGTTATGAGAATAACAGCAGAGAGAGTTTATTCTTTTTAAAGAATAGTAAAAATCAACTATCTGTATTTCAGGCTTGCATAAAAACACGTTTAAGCTTAAAATAGAAACCCAAGATTAAACATAAGACTAAAGCAGTCGTTCTCACGTCTTTAAAGAGGAAGTTAATCCTTTTTCTTTTGGCTTCTCACTCGGGTCTTCTGCTTTCAGACACCACTTTGACCGTCCTGCTAACACCTGCTGCTGAAGGCGTTAAAAATGGTCAAACTTGTTTGTGCATTTCTGGCTTTTTAAAACACTGACAAGACGAGGATGATTCAAGGGAGGCGCCAGTCAGAGAGCGAGGAGGGGAATCGAGATGCACACAACAATCACATTAGAGATGATGAAGAGGAATAAAGAAGAATATTAAACAGAATGAAAAAAGGAAAACAAGCAAGGAGAGGGGAAAGGAAACTGCTGTGGAGAAGTGAACCAGGAACTGTTGGTTTTTTAACACTTTAAATGGAAACGGATTTGTGCTTTCAGCTAACAGCAGAAACCAAGCCTTTACCGGGAAAGGAGAACTTAACATGAAAGATTTTAGACTCCAATGTGTCAGAGCAGATTTAAAAGAGCCTTGGTTACTGTCTGTTCATCTTTCCAAGCAGAATCCCACAGGTGGGGAGCAGGCGAAGGGGAGAGGAGGGGACGGAGGCTGGGCAATAGTGGACATATTCATGTAGTTTAGGTAGCAATGCACCTGCAGGTTCTGATATTGTCTCAACGAGTGTGAAACACGAGGCAAACCGCTGTAAACACGTGTGCGTTTCAAAAAGTTCTTTCAATTTTTTAGTACAAAATTTCCTCCTTTGTCTTTCCGTACATGCACGTAAATGTTTGTAAGCAGAGAGAACATAGCTGCCTTCCACTGAGCTCATGCAACCAACTTTATCGCAACCCCCCCAAAAGAAAAAAAAGAAAAAAGAAATGATTTGCTATTCACATTATTACTCACATTAGAATATAGAAAATATATCAAATGTTTGAACTAATTTGAAGTCATTTGACTGTTTCATGAAAAATATTAGTTCATTTTGAGTTTGATGGCAGCAACAAGTCTCAAGAAAGGTGGGACGGAAACAAAAGGCTGAAAAAGTAAGTGGTACTTAAAAAAACTAAAATTAAATTTAAAAAACAGCTGGAGGAATATTTTGCTTTTTAATTAGGTTAATTGGCAGACTGGGTAAGAAGAGAGCATCTTAGAAAAGACAGCACCTCAGAAGTTAAAGTGGGGAGAGTTTCACCAATCTGCGAAAGAAATGCTTGTCTGAATTGTGAAATAATTTCAGAACAATGCTCCTCAATGTAAAATTGCAGATACTATGACCATCAGGATATTCAGAGAATCTGGAAATTCTGGAGAAATCTCTGAACAGGGCGGAAGAAGAAGAAAAAAAACAAAAAAACAAAAAAAACCAAAATCAGTATTACCCAAATTATTCAGTCTGATTTTAAACGGTTGTAAAGTGTTGGAACTTATTCATATGCTTAAAAAATATTTTATAACTATTGGTATAATCATTTTATATATAATCAGTATAATTATCTCGTTGTTTCCTGTAAAAACCTGACTTATTACCCCCTATCCTAGCGTACCTTTAAGCATTTGTAGGTAAATATCATTAAATTGTAATTTCAAGTAAAATACAGCAAAATATCTTTTAATTACAGTTGAATTAAACCCTCAGTTGCAGGTCGTTTACAAAGTATTACTGATATTTGTTGTAGCACAGGTGCATCGCTAACATAAACTCATTCAGATATTTGGGGGGGGTCCACCTTAGTAAGTGTGTCCAACAGGGCCACATGTTGTCACACAGGGTCCCCCCACACCCCAAAGCGCGCGCGCGCGCACACACACACACACACACACACACACACACACACACACAAAAACCAAGGAGGAGGAGGAGGAGGTGGGAGACAGGGTGAGTTGGGTCGCTATGCTGAGTTTTGCTGCTGGCCGCATACTTACAAGATTTTTACAAGGCGCCACGCCCTGACAGCACGGAGGCAAGCACACACAAACGCTTGAAACACACCAGGTTACAGTGTCTGAAATATGATGGCTTCATAAAGGTGAAAGAGGCGAAGAAGTGACGGGAGCGTTCAGTGTGAGCGCGTGTGTCTGTGTGGGTCTAACCTGTGCGTGGACCAAAACATCGTTGAACAGGATGAACCAGTTGACGGAGAACCTGCCAGCATTCTGCAGGGTCAGACCTTTGTTGCTGCTCTCGCAGATCAGCCGCCGGTAAGGCTTCCGCAGAGAGTCCTGACGACAAACAAGGATGCCAATCGGCATTATGGAGCATCACATAACACCTTGGGACTGAACGTGGAAGGCTTGGTGCGAGCAATGATACAGAAGATGAGGACAGAGAGTTTACCGTCATTTTTCCAGGAAAGATCTTCCAGAAGTGAACAGTGTAGTCGGCCTCTTTCCTTTTTCGCTTCAGTTGCAAGACCGAAGCTTCAAACTTGGAGCAGCTGTCCTGAAGCTTCTGATACTCAGTCGAACACTAAAAACCCCCAAAAACAAACAAACAAAAAAAAGTAGTTAATTTAGGCCAAAAATCTAAAACCTATATAAGATAAGGATTATTTTAAAAAAAAAAAAAACATCTTTATATATTTTGTAAGTATACAAATAATTTCCTGTATTCCAGTATTTATTAAGGAGGAAATATGAAAGTTACTATAAAACAAGGAGATTAAACTGTGTAGAAATGACAACACAAGATGAAACCTGATGTTAGTAAAAAGAGGAAATAACAGAATACAAACTTTGAGGTCACATGCGCTGCTGCTCGAGTTTCTTCCACCTACCACTTCGAAGCAGGTGGCCAGTTTGAGCAGCAGCCGGCTGTATTCGTGAAGGTGGCGTGCAGGGAGGTAGAAGAGCACCACCAGGAGGTCGGCTGTGGTGAGGTTCTCCTCGCCGCACTCTGACAGCTTCTGGAGCAGCTCTGGACCTTTCCCAAACAAGTCTCTACGAGAAAATCACCACCGATTTATCATAAAGGATTCACTTTTTAATTTTTCTTTTCTTAAACATGTGGAGTTAATGTAGAAATTGTTTGTGTGCACTCACATGGATGGTTTGGTCAGAGCCTGGAAGCCTCCCATCACCTGGAAGTTTCCGACGGCGCTGCAGTAACTTCATACACACAAAAGCTAAAAGCGTTAAGGACTTAAACTCTTAGCAAATGTTTCAAGTTGTGTTTTGTTTTTGGACACGTACTCGTTGTAACAGTCGAGGAAAATACTGGTGTGCTCCAAGATGAGAAGGCTTTTGACCTCACGACAACGCCGCAGGCTAGCAGTGAGGCTGGTGGCGTGCTGCCCAGTCAGGTGACACAGACGGCCAAACATGTTCGCCAGTGTCTGCAGGAGGCCGAAGATGACCTGCCCGAGGGCCGAGCTCAGAGACTCTAGAGAAGGATGGGATAGGAAAAGAAGAAAATCAAGGCTGCTGAAAACTTTTTTAAACTTTGGGAAAACCTTCGTCTTCCTGATGTGTCCTTCTTACCCAGCTCCAGCAGAGGGCGTAAGATCTGAGACTTGATGTTACACAGCTTGCAGTAAAACCTCCTCTCAGCTGACGCGAGCTCGTGGAGGCTGGCGATGAAGCCCATCACATTCCTGTCAGAGAGTGCCACGCACCGCCGCCCACCCGCGAACACACTGCTCACATAACCAAGCTGGGAAAAACACAAGAAACGCACATTCACACTCGTACAAACACACAACCTGAAGCTAAGTGCTGAGCTAAAAGCAAGAACCTGTAGCATTAAACTACGTACATTCATGCAGAAGGGCAGCAGAACAGGCTGCTGGGTGTAGCCCCCCGCCTGCTCCTCCTCTTCCTCCTCTCCTCCTCCCTGCTGATGCAGCTCCTTCTCATTACCCCCCTCCTCCTCGCCCTCCTTCACCTGCTGCCCGCTGTAGTAAATGATGGGCTGGATGCAGTCTCCATCTGCGAGCAGGAGTGTGTGCCTCTCTCCCGCGCTCACGTCCCACACTCGGATCCCTTCTGACAGCTGGATGAGGAAAGCAGATGTTGAAAGACACCAACTTACACGATTGATGTGCATGAACGGGAAAAGAGTGGTGGTCTCCTCACCTTGGCGAGGCGGGGGACGGTGCTCGGTGACTCCATGTGTCCCAGCTGGCCAGAGCTGTTACTGCCCCATGAAAACACCTGGAAGGTATAAAGTACACACACATACAAGAGTGAGGTCTCTGAATGAAAACACAAAATATTTATGGGCTTTTACTTGCTTTGACAGGGTTAATGTCACTGCTCTGTGCCAACAGCAGGTTTATTTTCATGCTTATTTCTGGATCCTGATTGGTCACTGTGGCGTCAGGGTTATTGATATATATCCACTTCTTAGTTTTGCATGATCAAGACATTGCTGATCTATGCTTTTGTCCTTTTAATGTCAAAAGGAAAACAAAAAAACCTGTTGATGTAGAACTGCTCATCCTTTTAAAATATAGTTTCTACTTCGATTCAATGACCAACCTGAGACTGAGCCGTCAGAGCGAGGGAATGGTGAGCGCCGGCCGCCACCCGCACCACCTCCTTGTTGTTCAGACTCTTGATGCAGAGCGGCTGCAGTCTGCAAAGACACACAACACACTGCTGGTCAGAGGGCAGCCATTTATATCAGAGTTAATGACATGCTATGTAAACACAGACGTGAGTTTACTGTCAAGACAACAGCAAACAAAAAATGTCCAGCCTAAAAATTTTGTATCAGAGGACAACTGATATTTTTGAGACAGATACTTGGTGATCAAACAACTGGATATATCAGCCGATATTTTCTGTTAAACAAATACATTTGCTAGGTTTAGATATGAGTTTTGATTACCATAACTTGACAACATAGTTTAAAAACAATTTTTCTTTTCATTGTCACAAGCACTGGATTATTCATTTGGCACGACTCCTCAGATCAGCTGCTTGTTGTTTGTGGCGTTCAAACCACGTGTTGCAAAGTGTCCACTAAAGGGCAAACTATGCAACATCAAACCCGTTTCTTTATTTACCTTTTTACTTTAATTTATTGGAAACGGCCAAAACTGACATATCGGCGAATAGGTAATATTGGCTGATATATTGGATAGGCTCTAATCTGTACTCATGTGTGTTTACCGAAGGCTGGTCAATGAGTTTTTATTTTCAAAGTTAACAATGTAAATCGGTGTTAAACCCCCAAAATAATAATGATAAAGACTGGTGGTGAAGTGGCTTGATTTTTTTTTTTTTTTTTTTTATGACCTTGAACATTTGCCTTTATGGTCCAGACATCCTGTTATTACTGTGACAGGTGTGTCCAACCTGGCCAGGTTGTCTCCGTGTCCCAGCTGTCCATGCTCGCCGTGGCCCCAGCTCCACACCTCTGTCTGCAGGGTGGGCAGCACCTCGTGGTCCTCGGGGATGGCCCCCCCCAGCGGGGTGAGGGCGACCGCTCGCATTTTGGGACGACCGGCTTTCCTTAGCAGTCGCGGTGACACTGCAGGAGTCAAAAACAGAGAGGTCTGTCCACTGCACAGACATTTAAACAGCTTCAGTATTTTCCTCTGTTATTTTTCAGTTCTTATTATTAATATTGTGGTGGACCACCAGGTGGCTCCACTCACACACAAGTTGAAGGGAAGTGTGGGGGTGGAGATTTTGGCGCTGACTATATGTGAAGTTCTGTCAGTTAATAAAGTTGTTGGAGTGAGACACTGAGACCTCTCCTGTCGTTGTTACATACCTCCACATTGGTGACCCCTGTAGTGAACATGCTAAGGCTCGACGACGAAGCCAGCTCTGGCCTGGAAGCATCGGCGGCCGCCGGACCTTCACCTCCGCCGATGGCTGCGTTTGCTGTGGCGCTTAAATTGCCGGATTTTTGGCTTCACGATCCTCCTTCATGGTTCATGCACGTAGAAGCTCAGTTTGCTCTTCGTGGAGTTTCAGCCGACGACACTAAATACCACCATGTGGTGGCCTCACTTGACCCGCTGTCAACCCGCCGTGTGATGACTCTCCTCCGGGATCCCCCAGCCCAGGGCAAGTACGCCGCCCTCAAGGGCTGCTGCTGCGGCGTTACTCCCTCTCTGATGCTGAGCGGGCCGAGAAACTCCTTTCCATCGCGGGCCTGGGCGACGGCACCGCCCTCGAGCTCATGGAGAGCATGCTGTCCTTGCTGGGCGCGGAGGACGGAGGATTTCTCTTCACCCACCTCTTTCTTCGACAGCTGCCGGCTCCAGTGCGCGCTGGCCTTGCCAACTCCCCGCTATTGGCCACGAAGGATTACCGCTCCCTTGCGGAAGAGGCGGATCGCATCCTCCTGGCTACCAGGACTTTCGGCGTCCAGACGGTTATTCAGGACCCACCAGCGTTTTCCCCCTCCCCCTCACCGAAGCTCCACGGGCCCTCCGACTCGTCCACTGTGGCCGGAATCGCTGCACGGCGGCACCGCGGAAAGGGGCTTTGTTTTTATCACCAGCGTTTTGGAGCGAAGGCACGGCGCTGCCTCCCGCCTTGCAGTTTCCAGACCCAGGGAAACGGGCATGTCAGCGCTCTGTAGCAGCCGCGACCGCTGGCAACAAGGAAAGGCTGCTTTTCTTAGAGGACTCACGCTCGGGGAGGCGTTTCCTGGTGGACTCCGGCTCACAGAAGAGCCTTCTTCCCCCGGCTGGCTCGGACAGGCTAGCTGAGGGTTGCGGGCCATTGCTAACAGCGGCTAATGGCTCTCCCATCAAAACCTTCGGTGAAAGGTTGGTGACTGTTTGCTTTCACGACCGTGACTTTCAGTGGAACTTTGTTGTTGCTGCTAGCTCTGTGCCTATAATAGGCGCTGATTTTCTTTGTGCTCACGGACTACTGGTTGATGTGGCTAACAGACGTTTAATTGATGCTGTGTCCTTTTCCTCATTACCCTGTTTGACTCGGGGTGCTCAGCCCGTGGTGCATGCTAACTCAGTAGATTCGGGTGACGTTTTTCAGTGTTTGCTTTCTGAGTTTCCCCTTACTCACGGTCCCCACTTTCTCGAGCACGGTGACGAAGCATGGGGTGGAGCATTACATAACTACAGTAGGGCCCCTGGTGTTCGCGCGCGCGTGCCGCCTCGACCCCACCAAACTGGCTGTCGCTAGGGAAGAATTTGCCACCATGGAGCGTCTGGGCATCGTGCAGCGTTCGAACAGTGCCTGGGCTTCTCCGTTACACATGGTGCCTAAATCTGATGGTCGGTGGCGACCTTGTGGGGATTTCCGCCGTCTTAATAATGTCACGGAGAACGATCGTTATCCCATTCCCCACATCCAAGATTTTTCCGCCCATCTTGCGGGGACCTCGGTTTTTTCTAAGATCGATTTGGTACGGGGATATCACCAGGTTCCCGTGCGCGCGGAGGATGTCCCCAAAACCGCCGTAATTACACCTTTCGGCCTTTTCGAGTTTCTGCGCATGCCGTTTGGCCTGAAAGGTGCCGCCCAAACCTTCCAGCGGTTGATGGACTCGGTCTTGCGCGGGCTGCCCTTTGTTTTTGTATATCTTGATGATATACTGGTGGCCAGCAGCTCGAAGGAGCAGCACATGTTCCATCTGCGTCAGGTTTTTCAGCGTTTGGCGGAGCATGGACTGATTATTAATCCGTCTAAATGCCAGTTTGGGTTGACCGTTCTCGATTTCCTTGGGCACCGTGTTTCCGCCGAGGGCGCGGTTCCGTTGCCTGACAAAGTCCGAGCTGTTTCGGAATTTCCGCGTCCCACGACTGTTAAGGCACTGCAGGAATTTTTGGGGATGGTGAATTTTTACAACCGTTTTCTCCCCAGAGCGGCACATCTGCTGAAGCCCCTTTATGGGGCGTTAAAGGGTAAAAAAGCTAATGACCCCGTTGACTGGTTTCCGGACAGCATCCAAGCGTTTTCTGATGCTAAGTCAGCGTTAGCTAATGCTGCCCTTCTGGCCCACCCATCCCCCTCAGCGCCGATTGCGTTGACCACTGATGCGTCAGACATAGCGGTGGGTGCGGTGCTGGAACAGCGAATCTCGGGTGTCTGGCAACCGCTCGCCTTTTTCAGCCGTACGCTACGTGACAGCGAACGCAATTACAGCGTTTTTGACAGGGAGCTACTGGCGCTCCACCTGGCGTCTCGTCATTTCCGGTTTTTTCTCGAGGGTCGTCACTTTACCGCATATGTGGACCACAAACCCTTGACGTTTGCCATGTCCAAGGTTTCCGATCCATGGAGTGCACGCCAGCAGCGCCAGTTGGCAGCCATTTCTGAGTTTACCACGGACATTCAGCACGTGGCTGGTAAATCCAATCATGTGGCTGACTGTTTGTCCCGTGCGCTGGTTTCTCCCGTCTTTCTCGGCATAGACTACTCCGCCATGGCTGCCGATCAGAGCGGTGACCCTGACATCCTCGCGCTTAAATCCACCCAGACGGGCCTCATACTGGAGGACAGACCCGTGCAGGACGGTGGTCCCCTCCTCGTCTGTGACGTTTCCACCGGCCGCCCTCGCCCTGTGGTTCCCGCTTCCTGGCGTCGTCAAGTTTTTGACTCGGTACATGCTCTCTCTCATCCAGGGGTCCGGGCCTCTGTTAAACTGGTCAGCTCTAAATTTGTTTGGCCAGGCCTTCGCAAATCTGTTAAGGAATGGGCGTCGGCGTGCATTCCCTGCCAGCGCGCGAAGGTTCATAAACACACCAAGGCGCCCCTGGAGCCGTTCTTCATACCCGGCAAACGTTTCGATCATGTGCATGTCGATCTGGTGGGTCCCTTGCCGCAGTCACAAGGTTTTACGCACCTTTTGACTGTTGTTGACCGGACCACCAGGTGGCCGGAGGCGGTCCCCCTGGCGTCCACTACCGCAGCAGTGGTGGCCAAGGCGTTTTTGTCGACCTGGGTCTCGCGTTTCGGCCCACCCGCGGACATTACGTCAGACAGAGGCCCCCAGTTCATTTCCGAGCTTTGGTCGGCCATGGCTGATGGACTGGGGGCTAAAGTCCACCGCACAACCGCATACAACCCGCAGGCTAATGGATGTGTGAACGGTTCCACCGGTCGCTGAAGGCTGCCTTTCGCGCCTCCTTAAAGGATGGCAATTGGGTTGACCGCCTCCCGTGGGTTTTGCTTGGGCTGCGCTCTGCGGTTAAGGAGGATCTCGGCGCTTCCCCAGCTGAGCTAGTGTTTGGTCAGCCCCTCCGCGTGCCTGGAGAATTCTTGCCTGAAAATCCTCCTCCCTGCTTCGATCCATCGGTGCTCTCTCTCACCCCGCTTTTGCACTCGCTTCGGGTTCCTGGTCCGGTGCACCATTGCGTGCCTGACACCTTTGTTCCAAAGACTTTAGAGACTGCTAAGTTTGTTTTTGTCAGGCACGATGCCCACAGGACACCGCTGCGGCCGCTGTATGACGGCCCGTTCAGGGTTATTGAACTGGGCCAGAAACATTTTGTTTTGGATTTTGGGGGTCGAAGGGAGACTGTGTGTGTTGACAGACTTAAACCAGCACATGTTCTTCCGGACAGTGATGTAGTGCCGGCCCAGGCCCCTCGCCGTGGCCGACCTCCTGCGCTGGGGTTGACAGTCTCTGGTTTTCCCCCCAGGACTACCCCCGGACCACCAACGTTTGAGCCTCCTCCTGCCTTTCCTGCTCGCCTTCACCAGCCTCGTTCACAGGATGGACCTTCCTCTGCCTGTTCTCTCCCTCCCAGGTTCAGTCGTGCGGGTCGTTTGCTTAGACCCAGGGTCCTGGACTGAATGGAGACCTGACTGTGTGTTCAAAGGGGGGTATGTGTGGCGGACCACCAGGTGGCTCCACTCACACACAAGTTGAAGGGAAGTGTGGGGGTGGAGATTTTGGCGCTGACTATATGTGAAGTTCTGTCAGTTAATAAAGTTGTTGGAGTGAGACACTAAGACCTCTCCTGTCGTTGTTACATACCTCCACAATATTCTAATTACTAGCTTCCGGCTGAATGAAAAAGTTTTAACTGAATTTTTTACGAGATAATCAGTTTAGGGTGTAAAGTTCAGACAAACAAACAGGAGTTTAAAAAGAAAGGCAAGCCTGCACAGAGACACATCAGCCACTAAAATCATGACAAACACTATGGAAGCCCTGAGATCCAAAAATCCAGACAGTCAACTTTCACAATCAAACTTTTTTCCTGTCCCGAGTCAAAAGGTTATTGTAGGTTACTTCTTGTATGTGTGAGGCAAGAAGTGCATCACTCCCCTGCTTCAAAACTTCTCAAGAAGGTTAGCAACATTAGCAACATGTGCAGCATTTAAGCATGAGCAGCATGCTCTGGGACATTAAAGGCTACTAGGACAAAACTGGAAAGAACACAAGCCTTTACCACAAATATCAGTCATGTAAATGTGAGCATGGTGAGATGGTGGTGAGAGCGTTGTGTAACTTAAACTGAACAAAAACAAAGAACGTGCAGACATACAGGAAGTCCGGAAGAAGGTGGTGTTCTTTGCGATCGCCAGACCGGGTGATCCAAATCAGCTGGTTGTTAGCCACATAAGAACGTCACAGTACACATTAGTGTGGCCGTGCCAATTGTGGAACAAAGCAGCTAGTCAGCTTAGTCTTTGGTGGAAACGGGATCAAATATCAGGATATCCAGACAGCAGCCACTCTTTATGAATGCAAATTCGCCAAATATCATTGTCAGTTGACAGTTGATGGTTTCAACAATGCATATGGACCCAAGCCAACCCTCCATTAAGGCTGCAGATAGGCTGTTTACCTCCATGCGTCCAATGCAAAACCTTCTCCACTCTGGAGACCCACATCTTTGTCTTCTTCATTTTAATCTTCTTTCCTATACGGATCGCCACAGTGACTGCCTACATCTGACTCCATTTCTAACATCCTCCTCTGTCAAGCCAACCCTCTGCATGTCTTCCTTCTCTAAATCTGTGAATAGTCTCTGAGGTCTTCCTGTTTTTCTCAGGTTCAAATCATCTCAGCCTCTCCAACTTTTTCTAAAGCGCTGAACCTGAGCTGTCCCTGTGATGTACTCCTTGCTAATCCGTCCATCCTGGTGACTCCCAGTGAAAATTTGAACACCTTTAACCTCGTGTCTTTTTGTTAGTGACACCGTCTCCATACCTACATCATAGCAGGTCTCACTACCATCTCGTAAATCTTCTCTTTCACTCTTGTCGCTATCCTTCTGTCACAAATCAATCCTGACACTCATCTCTACCTGCTCTACCCTGCTTGCGCTCTAATTCACCATTCTTTCTCAAAGGCCTAAAGATAATCACCTACACTGCCCAAACTCTCTTGATTTGGTTGTTGGCATATAGCACGTGTAAAATGTCTGTGTGAACTCGTCTGGCAGGTTTTAGGGTTTCCTCATCAAACATTATCTATCAGGTCTTTAAAAACCGACATTCATAAGATGTCAGCTTATAAACCGATGATGAAATCTATAGCCAACCGTGTCAGGCTCTCCCAGTAAGGAAAGAAAGATATGATGACAGACAAACAGGCAGAGGGAAAGTCCATCTATCTAATTCCCACTCTGGGTCACTCAGAAGCAAAGGGCTTTCCCATAATGCACCAAACACCTTTCTCTCTAAAATCACACCTAAAACCTTCATTCTGCTCTATTAAATCTGCTAAATCCTTTTGTTCTTGCTGCCGTTTTCTAGAACAGTGAAACACGCTGACAGGAGGAGGTGATCATTTTAACATGAAGCATTTACAACCCAAGCAGCATTTTGCTTTTGTTACTTTTAGAACTAAAATATAAAAATAAAAATATTTTTATTAATTTAAATTATTAATTTTATTATTTATTTATTTTATTATTCATTAAAATATTTTTTTATATTTTTCCCCAATGAAAACATTGATGTCTATGTGAGTTTTTCAGTAGTGTGTGTGTGTGTGTGCTTGGATACATCTGTTAATAATTAATAAGTGGTGCAGTGACCTTTGACTCTTATACAAGTCACACACATTAGACAGATGACTTGACTTTCTCATTTTTTAAAGTGCTCTTGCGCAACAGTTCTCCAGGCTTTCTGAGGGCCCTTCAAAGGTTTTGTTTTGCTGCTTTTTCAATCCTTTTCATTGCAGTCCTTGTCCCTGACCATTTTCAGAGGAATGTTTTTTGTTTGTTCAGCCACTTAACACTGACCTATGAATCATTCAAGTATAAAGTCAAGGGATGAACCAGTGCTGCATCTACACATAACAGACAACTCAAGATCCAACTTAAATTTTTTGTATCTTTAGGCACTTTGTTACTGTATGTTGCTATTTCTTTAATTAAATCTATGAAAAATCAGAAAGATAACAGTCTGATAGAAAACATTTTTTTTGGCACAAAGAAGGGATTTCCTAAAAATCCTGGCATGTTGTGAAGTGGGGGTCTAATAAGGATCTACAGTAAATTAAAATTATATGAAAGTCATGTTGTTAGGAAACATTAGGAAAAATTCCATTAAAGACTTGACACAGGACCTGAGAGATGCATCTACTGTTCACTAAAGCTTCAAAAGAAATGGTCTCGGTATACTAGTAAGTGCATTTGCATATACACAAGAATACTCCTAAAAACCTTGAACAAAACAAGTCATCTGTATCTTTACAATCAATCAGGCCTGGTTCATGTAAAAAAACACAAAACGTGCACGTCACAGATATTTAAAGGCAATCAGAGATGGAGTGGCTGGAGGTGACATTGTGCTGAATATGACAGAAACATCACATGGGCATGAAGCATGCCGCAACACTGAGCTCACAAGTTCAATAATGAAGCCTGAAGCGTGCACAGACTGCCATCGACCTGCACGAGCGCAAGGCGTACTTACGCAGCAGGCCATAGGAGGAGGATAAGAGGTGAACAGCGTATCTACCCTGTGAGAGCAGCCCTGGCAGCGAGAGGCGGCGTCGCAGACCCTCTGCCTCCTCTTCACGGATGTCCCCTGTGCTGGAGCTCTTCTTCCCCTGCATGGAGTCCTCCTGGCGGACACGCTCAGCAGAGTTATCGACCACTCCAGGGGATCCTCCTGACCGCGAGGCCCCTGAGGGGAGGTAGAAGTTCATCATCTTTTTCAGGGACAGGGCCTCGTAGGTGGAGGCCACCCGCCCACCCACTGCAGAGGCGCAGGAGGCAACCAGGTTGTTGAGTGCCGAGGTGGGGGTGGAGGACATCAGTCCTCCAGTTGAGGGCTGGAAGAGAAGTGAAAGATGGTCAAGAGTTTAAAGATGTTTGGGTGGAAAATGGAAAATAAAAAGTTGTAGCTTTTTGTGACTTTTCAAATACATTTTTGAGTGAAAGCCGTCATTAGATTTTAGAGAGTGGTGGTCTCCCATCCTGATGCTTTTGTTCTAGCATTCAAACGGCTTCAAACTACACTGGCAGCGTTTTAGAATCCATAAACAAATACTGTCAAAAATTACGCAGTTATCGTAGCCACAAGCTAAATAAAACAACTAGCCTAATGGTCAGTTTTTGAACTTTCAAGTTATCCTTGAACATATCGTGTGTGACGCATTGTTTCTTATTTTAACTAGAATCCATACAAATCAAAACCATGATGTGGTGATGAGCGGTGCATCTGACTTTTCCCCACACACCTGAAAGTTTCTTCTATGTTTTCTGGAAGCTTGTTTCTGTCACTGATTTATCATCTCAAAATGTTTACATTTTAGTCAACAGAAAGTGGAAACAAGCTTCCACCATGTTTTATACAGTCTACAGGTGAAATTGACTATGGCTGCTCAAAAAACCTTTGTATGCATTGGTGACAACTACTTTTTTTACGCTCATTAATCACACAAATGCCACTTTTGCTGTTTTCTTTTTTTTTTTGAAAATGACCACATAACTAAAACGTCACGAAAGGCATTCCTCAGTTATTTCTACTTCTAAAAGCAGTTGCTCCGGACTTCAAATTACAGTGAACAAGCAAATATTTAACAAAAAGCATCCAGAAACAGTTTGAGAAGTTTAAGATTAAGTTGTCAACACAGCCCCATGACCTGCTGGAGTCTGCTCCGAAACCATAGCTGTTGCTTCCTATATTGGAACAGAGGAAGTCTGAAGCAAAACTGTGGCAGCAACTTTTCTGTGTTCCAGCAGGAAGTTCCTCCACTGATGTTTCAGACCCACCCGTTTGCTGACTTGAAGCTTAAACTCATCTGCTCCATGTTTATAAAAGGGGGAGGTAAACCTTTAAGCTGAAGTCACTCCAGCAATCGTGGCGTCTGATTTTTCACGTACTATTGCATTAAAGGATAAAAGCAGTGACCAAGCCTCCTCAGTTATTTTGGTTGATATAGATCTCACGGTTATCTAACAAGACATTTCAAAATCTACTTCAAATAGATTTAAGTAGCAGAGTTAGTGAATCAAAAAAAACAAAACAACGAATGCTCGCTTTTTCTCTCTACTGTCACGCTGCTCACCAGCAGAGCGTTCAGCCCTCCGCTTGCCTGTGTGTTCGTCTGTGTGTTGTCGGACAGCTTCTTCAGGTAGTCCTTCACGGCCTGCTCGTCTGGATATGGTGAGCTCTTGGCCCCGGCAACAGCATCACTCTCAGCTCCAGATAGAGCCGAGGTGTCTGAGTCTGAGACCTGGAGCATGCCATTAACCAAAGATGCTTCCCCTTCCTCAGAGGCATGAGGTTGGGAGGGGACAGAGGTGGGGTCAGCAACTGTAGGCACTGCCGGGGACTCTGACTTTGAGGTGTAGGAGGGGAGGACAGGCTCTGATGGGGATGTTTTGAGACCTGTGGTTGGGTTGGGTGCCTCCAGCTTGCCGTCATCCTCGGTCAGCTCCACGCCAAGCGGGCAGTAGTGGCTGTCAGAGATGATGACGTGGTCCTCTTTGTCTGTCATGGTGTAGAGCAGTTCGTTACACCTCCCACATTTGTCCACATGAGGCCGGTGGCCATCGTGAGACCCCAGGCAGCGCACCAGAGCGAGGCTGTGAGATGCCCCGCAGGCCACCTGTAAAACATACCGACCTGCCAGGTGCTCCACCTTCTGAGGCTTCCACACAGGGAAGACGGCGGCATTGAGGCCCAGCTGGCAACCGCTGCCCCATGCCCACACCTCACGCTGCACCGACAGAGCCAGGGTGTGCTTCTCCCCACAAGCCAGCTCCAGCACAGGCACTGTCTGCGGGGGGACAGTGACAGTGTCCAAGTCCTGCAGGGCGACGGGAGTCGGGTTGGGAACAGTGCTAAGGCCCGACAAGCCGCACTGTCCCGCACTGTTCTCCCCCCACATGTGGACGCCGCCATCCTCCGTCACTGCCCCACTGTGAAAGCTTCCGGCTGCGACTGTGACCACCCGCTGCCCACTGAGCGCGCTCTCCAGGGTCGGTTTGGCTGGCTCTGGCACTTGACTCTGCTTCCACGGCAACTCGCCGAAGCTGTACACCTGTCCCCCTGAAGAAGATGTAACAACAGACAATCAGTGTGGGTTAACTTTGATTTATCCAAAAACATCAGAATAAAGATTTAGAAATCACAACATAAAAGCATGACTTCTGATCAATACAAACAGTAAAGACAGAATGAATTCATGAAGATGTGCTTAAGTATCGACTATGACTCTGTGACAAGTCATAAACATGTCCCTCCAAAAGAAAAAGAAGTTTCACCTTCCACCAGGAGAACGCCATGCTGCGAACCCAGAGCGACCTGGAGGACCGGCCGGGGGAGGAGCAGCCTCTCTGGGGTGATGCTGTAAGAGTAGCCCTTCCAAGAGTGGAGCAGTCCTCGCTCGCCGCCGCTGCCATCGTCCCAAGAGCTGGGGGAGAGAAATTGTAGAGATTAGCAAGAGTGAATTAGAAAGGAAGTGTAAGGATCCTTCCCAAGGAAAGGTAGGGAACTGGGTACTGTATTCTGTATTTAGGACCTCATCTAACAAAACTGAGGAAAAACATGACAGAGAATCAGAGGTGCGTGGGTGGCTGATAAAGCAGAGCAGAGGCAGACAAATCGCCTCAGTAGGCGTTTGATCCCCACGCCCCTCACTTCTCCTGAACAACAGATGTTTTGTCAGTGAAAGCAGAAGTGAGCACAACAACTCCATCCTTAGGCAATGTCACATGGTGATCACAGGCAGCCAGCTGAGTGGCATAATCCTGCAGAGAACTAGGAGGGGGATGACTCTGGGTAGACCTACCTCTTACTCTGGATTTCCATCAGTGGGGTTGATACTCCTCTATCAGCATGTCAGATTCAGGACTCCTCCTATTCCTCCTCCTGCTGCCGCCGCTGCTGCTAATTGAGGTTCTGAAAGCAAAAGTACAAACAGTCAAACATTATCAGTCCAGCCACAGTGACTGAACTATGGGGGAATATCCAGAAGGAAACCCCTGAAACACAAGCCAACAGACTGGGGTGTCACAATAAAAGTGCTAAGGGCACATTTTTATATATTTAACCCCTTAAAACTCCTCAGGCATGTTATTAGCCGCCGGTAGATAACATTAGCTGATTAGCCACAGAGCTAGTTGAAACCACAGGTGTCGCTGCTCTGTTTTCTGGATTTTAAAAATACATTTATTAAAGATACATTTCCTCACCAGCCGGCCATCTGCGCTGCTCCTCGAGGTGTTCACGTAAAGAGGTCGCTGACACACGCGGTAGTGAGCGTGTTTAGACGCTGTCTGCTGCTCATTTCTGTAATGTTGACACGCTGAAGATCGTCCAACTGTCAGGAGGTCCCACTCCTCCGCGGGAGCGAGCCGGAACGAAGAGAGCGCGCCTTAAAGGGACAGCACACATATTTTTTTATAGGACGTGTTGTTGGTATCACAAGTTGGAAGATTTCAGCTTTTGGTGAGAGGAGTCGCCTTCAGATCGTATTATCTGTCATATTAGCAGGCTTTCATAGGCGGGAAAGTGTCAGGGCATCAGTAGAAAGTTCACAGATTAAAATGTAACACATTGGACGAACATAGTCAGGCAGACATGTTTATTATATCCAAAAAACTAACAGTAAATACAGCACTGTGCAAAAATGAGCCACTTCTCACATCAGTGTATTTTTCTTGGAAAATGGGAAATAGCAATAAAGCTTAATTGAAACGTGCAGACTCTTAGGCAGCTTTGTTGCATTTCTTTAAGTAGTCTTCAGAAATAGTTCTCCAGGCTTCTCGAAGGACATTCAAAGATTTTCTTTGGATGTTTCTGCCTTTTGTTCTGTTCTCTGTCAACATGATCCCACACTGCTTCAATAATGTTGAAGTCTGGGTTCTGGGGAGGCCAGTCCGTGACTGATTGATTCACAGTGTGTTTTTCTTTCCAGGTATATTTTTATTGCATTGGCAGTATGTTTGGGATCATTGTCATGCTTTTTCCAATCGGACGCTTAAAAAATCTGAAGACAGCCTGGAGAACTATTGCTCAAGAGCACAAATTGTGGACTTTAAACCCTGGACCGCCAGGGCTTTTGCATCTTAGCCACCGGAGCACTAGATCCTCATGGTTCCTTGTGCAGGTTATCCACAACTTGAATCCAGAGTGAGGTAAAGCAATGTTTTTAACTTCGCAAGGGTAGTTTGAATCTAACTCAGTGTGGCCCCTTACCTAGAACCAACTGAGGAGACCAAGGGCAAAGTTACCTCTGACAACAGCACTTCTGGGATGCCTCTGGATGTGAGGTGTTTTGAGCATGCCCAAAAGCAGGAGCCCCTGGGGCAGACTGGCAGACTGTTTTTAAAACAGCATAGAAATAGGAATATTATGCTTTTCCTCACAAATGTCAGGTTTAAATGCCACACACAGTCCAATGGGCAAGCTTTAAAAAGAAACTACAACAGAGTGAGACCTCTTATTTGTTTCCTGCTCTCAGGCCCGGCTCAGCTGCTGCCGTTGTTGTGACAGACTCTACGGAAAGCGGAGGGCTCAGGATAGAAAGAACGCAAAGTCTAAAAAGGGGTCAACAAATACCCTTATACAACTCTTAATGACTTTAAAACAGTGACTGGCACTATTTCACAACAGGGCCTTTATATAAACTGGCTTTTGTAATATTTATATATAAATACTGAAACATATTTAATTTCTCGATCGTGGCTCAAGAGTTGGGAGTTCGCCTTGTAATTGGAAGGTTGCCGGTTCGAGCCCTGGCTTGGACAGTCTCGGTCGTTGTGTCCTTGGGCAAGACACTTCACCCGTTGCCTACTGGTGGTGGTCAGAGGGCCCGGTGGCGCCAGTGTCCGGCAGCCTCGCCTCTGTCAATTTTCAATAATAAAATGAGAAAATGCACTAAATACAAATCCTGTAACATTAAAGTCTGTAGCCTGATCTATGGTATTGACTTCATTTTTTTTTTGCTACTTTCATTTTATAAAACAAAAGAAAAACAGAAATATAAAAGAATAATCTCAAAACACAAACCAATCGCCTCTGGCACCTAAAATATAAAGGGGAGGTTGAATAAAAAGAAGTTTTAAATATCAAACAACAACCATACACGTTATTTATCCTCCCAAATCAGAATCAATCTATACACATTTGAGTATCAGAAGATAAAAGTTGGAAATGTTTCCACAAACTGATAACAAATAACACTATCAGTGTGTTTTATACAGATATGTCCAAGGAAGATTTTATTTTCAGTTGGTGAAATTTTTTCATAAACTTTTAACTATGAACTATAATTACAAAAAAAAATTGTGTTACCTGATATTTTGATGTATGTTTTGGTTTGTTTGGTTTTCAGTATTTAAATGTGTCACCCGAAGAGGATAAACACGATAAAAGATGAATGTAGCTTCTGGGTCGGAAAAGTGAAGCCAATGTGGAAGTGCCTTAAATTGTTATTCTTACTCATGTCCAGCAAGAGGGCAAATCCTGTGGTTGCAGAAAGACTTGTGGTTGTTTGAAAGCTACACTTACTGCATAATTTATGAGTTACACCTTTCTAATACTGGTTTGGACCCTCTTTGCCTTCTGAGCTGTCTCATTTCTTAATGGCACAGATTCAAAAAAGTTGCTGGAAACATTCTTCACTGATTTTTGTCCATGTTGACATGGCAGCATCAAACAATTGCTGTGGATTTGTTGGCTGCACGCCCATGATGAGAATTTCCTGTTCCACCATATCCCAAAGGTCCTCTGTTGGATTGAGATCTAGCAGTGATCATGTGAGACCGGACAGTGTGCGCACACTGTGTCTGAGGAGGATGTGCGGAAGTGCTTCAGGAAGGTGAACGCACGCAAAGCTACTGGTCCGGACGGGATTCGCGGCCGCGTCCTCAAGTCATGCGCGGCTCAGCTGGCTGGAGTGTACACACACATCTTCAGCCTTTCCCTCTCTCTGTCTGTAGTCCCAGCCTGCTTCAAAATGGCCACCATTGTCCCTGTACCCAAATCCTCCACAATCTCCTCATTGAACAACTGGCGGCTGGTAGCCCTGACCCCCATCGTGAGCAAATACCATCGTTCCCTCGAAGCTGGACAGGAAACTGCAGGATCTAGGACTGAGCAGCTCCCTCTGCAGCTGGATCCTTAACTTCCTGTCTGACAGACGGCAAGCGGTCACCTCATCCCCCGTCACACTGAACACTGGTGCTCCACAGGGGTGTGTACTGACCTCTCCTGTACTCACTCTATACCTACGACTGCAAGGCCACTAACAACTCCAACATCATTGTGAAGTTTGCGGATGACACTACAGTCTTATCACCAAAGGTGATGAGACAGCCTACAGGGTGGAGGTCAGCGCCCTGACCCACTGGTGTCAAGACAACCATCTCACCTTCAACGTCGCAAAGACAAAGGAGTTGATAGTGGACTTCCGGAGGTGCAGAGAAGTACACACCCCCATCACCATCAACGGCGCTGCTGTGGAGAGAGTGAGCAGCTTCCGGTTCCTTGGTGTACATCTGGCTGAGGATCTTACGTGGTCAGTACACATAAACAAAACGGTGAAGAAGGCGCAGCAGCGCCTCTTCTTTCTCAGGAGACTGAAAAGATTCGGCATGAGCCCCCGCATCCTCAGGACCTTCTATCGTTGTGCCATTGAGAGCATCCTCACTGGATGCATCACCACCTGGTATGGCAACAGCACCGCTTACAACCGCAAAACTCTCCAGAGAGTAGTGCGGTGTTCTAAACGGCTAATTGGAGGTGAGCTTCCCTCCCTCCAGGACATCTGCAGGAAGCGGTGCCTGAGGAAAGCGGGGAGGATCATCAAGGACTCCAGTCACCCCAGCCATAAACTGTTCAGACTACTTCCATCGGGAAGAAGGTTCTGCAGCATCCGGTCCCAAACCGGCAGACTGAGAGACAGCTTTTTCCACCAGGCCATCAGACTGCTGAACCATAGACATAGACAGGCCATAGACACCTCACCTTCACTACTGGAACTTCAACATTATGCACTCCATACATTAATGCCACTTGTTTTGCACAATATCCAACTACTAACCTCTGTATATTTTATATATTTTGTTTTATTGTTTACTCTATTTAATTAGTAAAATATGTATACACACACACACACACACACACACACACGTAGATATACATATTTAGTATACACATTCACTAATATGCATACACTCTTATATTGTACATATATTTATTCATAGAATTCTCAGATTTAGCCATTCTTATATTTTGCTTGTTCTTATGTTATTGTATTTTTGCCCACCTCTGTTGCTGTGAAGCTCGCACACAAGAATTTGACTCACATGTACTGTAACAGTGTACCTGCACATGTGATGTGACAATAAAAGTGATTTGATTTGAATGTTGCAGCAGAAATTAAAATTTATAAGATTGGAAAATGTTTTTCAAATCTTCAAATTTTGGTGAGTTGGTGTAAACTGGGAAGCGTATCTGTAACCGGAAGGTCACCGGTTCGATCCCTGGGCTCTCTGTCCTGGTCGTTGTGTCCTTGGGCAAGACACTTTACCCTACCGCCTACTGGTGTTGGCCAGAGGGGCCGATGGCGCGATATGGCAGCCTCGCTTCTGTCAGTCTGCCCCAGGGCAGCTGTGGCTACAACCGTAGCTTGCCTCCACCAGTGTATGAATGCGAGAGTGAATGAATAGTGGCATTGTAAAGCGCTTTGGGTGTCTTGAAAAGCGCTATATAAATCCAATCCATTATTATTATTAAACTGTAGCCTCAGTTTTGCTATTTTTAACTGACAGAAGTGGGATCTGGTGTGGTCTTCTGCTGCTGTTGAGATGCTCTACTGTATACTTTTGGTTGTGTGTTTTTTTGTGTTATTGTTGCCTTCGAATAAGCTTGAAGCAGTTTGGCCATTCTCCTTCGACCTCAGCAAGACATTTTCCCCAGGAGAACTGCTGCTCACTGGATATTTTCCGCAGTTCTCGTCTCAAGTTTGGGGTTCTTTTTGCGCTGCTTTGGGGGCCAGGCCTTGTCTGAGCTCTGGTTACCATCCTCAGACGAACGGCCAGACGGAACGTTTAAATCAGGAGCTTGAGGCCGCGCTCCGCTGTGTGACCTGTCATAACCCTGCGACTTGGGACTCATATCTGCCGTGGGTGGAATATGCCCACAACTCCTTGGTTTCGTCTGCTACTGGGTTGTCACCGTTCGAGGCCTCTTTGGGTTATCAGCCGCCCCTGTTTCCGGAGGAGGAGGCTGATCTTGCTGTCCCCTCGGTCCAGCATCATCTGCAGCGCTGCCGTCGGGTCTGGTCTCGTACGCGGGAGGCGCTGTTGCGTGCTGTGGCTCGCCAACGTTGCTGTGCCGACCGTCGCCGGTCTCCTGCGCCCGTTTATTCACCGGGACAGAAGGTGTGGCTCGCCGCGAAGGACATCCCTCTCAGGGCATCCTCCCGCAAGTTGTCTCCTCATTACATCGGCCCCTATTCTGTGGACAGGGTCCTCAGCCCCACGGCTGTCAAGCTCCGTTTGCCTGCTGCCTTGCGGATTCACCCGGTCTTTCACGTTTCTCAGGTGAAGCCGGTGGTGTCTAGTCGTCTGTGCCCGCCTCCGGTGCCCCCGCCTCCCGCCCGGCTCATTGACGGGCACCCTGCGTTCTCTGTCCGGCGCATTCTGGGTGTGCGGCGGCGGGGTAGGGGGCTGCAGTTTTTGGTGGACTGGGAGGGTTATGGGCCGGAGGAGCGTTCTTGGGTTCCTCGTTCTTTGATGCTTGACTCTGTGATGGTTTCTGATTTTCTTAGGTCACGTCGTGGGGCGGGTGCTGGTCGGCCGCCAGGTGGCGTCTCTTGAGGGGGGGGGTACTGTCATGGTCCGGGTGTGTGCCAGTGTGTCTCCCTCCGACCCGGCGTCTCCACCCCGGGGAGGGGCCTCAGTGTTTTTGCTCATCGCTTACACCTGTGAGTAATTTAGCCGGGGACTCATAAGGCCAGCGTACTCAATCTCTCTTCGCCAGATTCTCTGCTAACATCAGTCAGTGCAGGCCACCACCATCATTCCCTATGTATTTTGTGAATCACCTTGCCTCACTGTATGTTTGTCTTTTGTGTGCCTCTCTCTTAGCTACACCCAACTGTCAACCCCTGTCGAAGAGCACCTACTTGGATGCTGGACCATCTGGCAGTCCCACAGGCTATTACCCAGATTACCTACCTGCCTCTCTGCCTCCACGCCAGGAGTTTTTTGGATTTCACACCCGGACTACTTACCCCTCTACGTCATCTCCGACCTCCTTTGGCAAGTACGCAGTACGAAGGAGGATTCTGAATCAGCAACATATTCATATGTCTCCTTATCCGTATCTGAACATCTGCACTCTGTTACAGTGACCCCGACCTTTTCCTGGATCAAATGTGACTTGCTTTCCAGTCCAATCCCTGGAATAGCTGTCCTCTCTGACCCGGACCAGATCATTACTTAGTTTCAGTGGTGGAACGTCGTACTTGTCTACTCTCACCTTTTGTTTATGAATATTTGTGGAAACATTAAACTTTATTCTTAAAATCTACTTACGAGCTGTTCGGCGTCCTGCATTTGAGTCCTGTCACTCGTCCAAAACGGTCTCGGCCGTAACACATGAAGCTCTTTTTGTAAGTTACGATCATTATTAGATTATCCTGGCTGTAGCGTCATCAGTTCCACTCATCACATCCAGATTAAAAATACATAGGTGGCAACAGTCAAAAGAGTCAGCTCGAGGTTTCGTAACAGGAATTCACTAACCAGAGAGCGACATCACAGTTGTTAGGTCCATCTTTGACACTGTTGAGGGCTAAAAGGCAGGTCAAACTGTTTCATATTTTTTGTTTTTGTTGGGAGCAAAGTTCAACTCCCTATTATTATTATTATTATTATGTTATAACTGTACACTTTGGCATTTCTAGTTTGGCCTGGTGTCAACACACAAACTTCCAGACTCCCTAGAAATGAAACGACTTCTGAGGCCTTTGGATGTAGCAACTCCAGAAATGCTCATTCATCTGTCACCCCTCTGCAGTCAGCACAGTCAAACTTAAGATTTAAGGTCCTCCAGCTCTCCAGTTCACTTCTCTCCTTCCCCTGGTGTCGTTTCCACTCACTGAGTAAGGTGGCACTAAAATCAGCACTTTAATCTGCTGATTCAGGCACTTTGCATGTCTGACTTCCAACCCCAGACATCACTTCATTCAAAATAGAGAAATAGAGTCAAGGGATGCTATCGTGCACCGCCTGATTGAAGTTGAGAAACTATTGACCTTGATGGAGTGTGTGTGTGTGTGTGTGTGTGTGTGTGTGTGTGTGTGTGTGTGTGTGTGTGTGTGTGTGTGTGTGTGTGTGTGTGTGTGTGTGTGTGTGTGTGTGTTTGGCCTCAGCAGACACTTATAATCTAACTCTGATCTTGGGAAAAGTGCTTACTTTCCGACCTCTTTCCCTTAAAAGGAACATTAACAGGAGCTTTGTGGAGAGGATTCAACTTGGATTTAACGCCATCAAGGAGCTAAAAAGGGAGCAATTTTTATAAGATGTTATATCTATAGTACTTTTCTAAGCTCCACAACAGAGGTTCTTTACTCTTTCAGCCTACTAGTACGTGACCACATTCAGTGGTCACGTACTAGTAGGTATGTTTGATCTGTTCTTCCTGTTGGCAAACTGGTTTACCTAAGAAAACTACAAAATCGGGGCCAGTATAAAAATTAGCCAGACATTTGTTCATGTCCTCTTTAATGTTCTCTTTTTTGCACAAGTCGAGGAGCATTTCAAGACACATTTCACATGTGACAAATAAAGAATCTTGAATCCTGCTCTACTACATACAGTCATGACAAAGTCTTACCTCACTGTGTCCATTCCTGAAACATCCCTCTGACATTAATGTGAAGATAATAAGTGAGTGAACTGTTCAAAAGACAGCATATAACCCTACAAACTACAGTCCCAATCAAAAGATTAAGACCACTTGAAAAATGGCAAAAAAATCATATTTTGCATAGTAGGATTTAAATAATGTAGAGCTTCAACATGCAACAAGAAGAAATGGGAGTGAGATAAAACCTTTTTTTGAGCATGCAATTTATTGAAAACAGTGCTTAAACTGAAACAGGCTTGCAGCTGATCAATAGTTTAGGACTACATTCCTTTAAAAGGCCAAATCTGTGCAAAAATGTGAATTCATTGTCATTTTCTGTCAGGTAGTCACACTGTCGTGATGTTCAGATGGCAAAGGCAAAAAAATTCCCTTTTTGAATGTGGTTGGGCTGTTGAACTGCATAAGCAGGGTCTCTCGCGCCATCGTTGCTGAGGTGGGACGCAGTAAGACAGTCATTTGGAATTTGTTAAATGAACCTGAGGGTTATGATGGACTTGAGCTCCATAACCTTCAGACGGCATCTGAGACTGAAGGGCTTCAAAAACAAAATAACATCTTTAAAGGCCTCGTCTCCTTGAACGCCACAGAACTGACTGTTTGGACAAAAGAACAAACATGAGGCACTGAAAGGTGAAAGAAAGTTTTATTCTCTGATGAGAAAAAATTGAACTTTGATGGTCCTGATGGTTTCCAACGTTACTGGCATGACAAGCAGATCCACCTGAGATGTTTTTTACGCTGCATAGTGGAGGGGGCACCATAATGGTTTGGGGTGCTTTTTCCTTCAGTGGAACAATGGAACTTCAGGATGTGCAGGGGGGTCAAATGGCCGCTGGATATGTCCAGATGTTGCAGAGAGGATCCCTCGTGACTGAGGGCTCTTGTCTGCATGGTGACGACTGGGTTTTTCAACAGGTCAATGCTACAGTATACAATGCCTGCAGGACAAGGGACTTCTTCCAGGAGAATAACATCACTCTTCTGGAACATACTGCGCATTACCCTGATCTAAATCGAATTGAAAATCTTTGGGGATGAATAGCAAGGGAAGTTTACCGTATTTTCCGCACTGTAAGGCGCACTTAAAATCTTTTAATTTTCTCAAAAATCGAGAAAAGATCTCGCATCAGAGGAGGCTGAAAATCCACAACAAACAGATGGTTCTTAGGCTCTATCGTCCTCGAAATGGGTAGAAGTGGTACAAAATGGATGGACCAACTCTGTACCAAAACACCTGCCTCGTGTGAGGCTCGAACTGACGACCTTCAGATTATGAGACTGATGCAGCTTGAAATGGATGCACAAACTCTGTCACGTGCTGTGCATCAAAGGACATCGCTTGCGTGAGACTACAAGTCACTACCACATAGACTTCTTGTTCCAACTTAACAGTCAGGCAAGAATGATTTCAAATTATCCCTCTCAATGGACCCTGTTGGCAAAGGAACTCCAGGCAACCTCCAGAGACTCATCTCGGGAGCTGCCGATAACAATTATCAGCCTTGCTCATCCGCTTCCAATGCAAAGACATTCCTAACCCTACCTGGACAAAGTGTCCAAGAAGAAATAACAGGTAGGAGTCATTTGCCGGAGGAGCTCAGGGCCGCAGAGAACGTACGTGTTTTTAAGAACAGGCTCACGACTCACCTTTTTAATTTAGCTTTTACTTAGCGTTTATTTATTTTATGCTTATTTATTCTATCCTGTTATTTTATTATTAATTTAGGCTTTACCTAATATTTATTGATTTTATTCTTATCCATTTTTTAATCTTCTTACTCTATTTACATTTATATTTATATTGTATCCCGTTCTTATTTATTTTAGAATTTTACCCTGTATATAGCCTATTGTGGCATATCTCCAGTGTTTCCTTGGAGGGGGCTCTCTGCACCGGGGCTGTGATCGACCGTGGCTGCTGGGTCTCTGGGGGTCCTCTCAGCCTGGCTGGGGGGCTCCCTTGCCTCCCTCCTGCTGTGTGCCCAGCCTGGAGGCTGCGGTCTGTGACCGGCTCTCGGTGCAGACGGATCCCTGTTATAGTGTTTCCTCACTTGGCTCATGTGAACCCAGCCCAATTTTTACTCTTTAAGTGTGCGTGTGTGTGTGTGTGTGGGGGTGGGGGGGGGGGGGGGTATGTGTGTATTCACATCATTTATGTTAATGAGAGTGTGGGGAGTGAGTTGGAGGGTGGGGTGGG